TGAATTGTGATTAGAGATAATGGGTCCTCGAATGTACAGCGGCCAGCGTGTGTTCATCATGCAGGATTCGCGCGGTATCGTAGCATGTTGCGTGAAAGTCTAGCCTTAATTGATGTTTACAGAAAGCAAGCGTTGACTCTTATTTGATAGTCATAGGCAACCACCGGGTTGTTCTTAGCGCACAGGCCATCCATTTAAATTTGATTATCGGGGGCATTGATTTCTTACCATCGCTCTTCGGAAGAGAAACACATGCAATTCTCCGCTTAGGCTCTCCGAGCAACAATTATTCTTAATAGTTGTTTGCAGTAAGTCATGAAACCACTAAATGAATCATCAGCAACGAATAGACACTGTCATTTGTTAGTTACCCGGTTTTTATACTCTCCGGTATTGGTCTTATTTTGTACTTTATAAGTTCTTTATCGGTACTAGCAGCCTGCTTCTATCGAACTATACAGTGAATAACTGCACACATTTGTTGAAAATAAGAAACAGCTGCTCCGAGGTTATGGACGACAGCGCGTATAACTGCATGACGGTGGTGCCTGCTTGTCAGTTGCTTTAACTATTGAGCACTTTAATCACTGAGCCCGTTAAGGTCAGACATTTAGTCTTGCAGGGAAACCAGTACAGGCTTTTACACTTGGCGAACAGGTATGGTATAGAATTTCTACACATGGAGGTAGAAACGACAGACTACCATGTTAAAAGGTAATTAAATGCAGTTTGGATTGTCCCTCTTGTCCAACACGGAAATATTTAGTCAACAAATGACATTGACCTCGCATCAATAAGCCCACTGGAGCAGCAGTACTTATGGAATATATGCCCTGTTTTATAATAAACGATTAATACTGACAAGTTGGTCGGTGTTCCGTCTACTGTATTTTCCTCAAAGTTCATGGTTATGCTTAGCAGCCTATGCAAGTAGTTCTGTTTTGCAAGAACTAACCAGCGCCATTGGACGAATATGGCAGAAAGCTATTTATATATACTTCCCGAGTGAAAAATAAGTCGAACTCGTTTCCGGCGTTTATTACGAATGTACATCTGGAGCATATGCCACAACTTTAAGCATTAATGTGCATATGAAGTTTCGGCATGTTGTGATTTCTGACACTCCTAGCCTCCTGTGCAAATACTTGGTGTAGTTCCAATCACGTGTTTGCTAACTAAGCAACGAATAAGTGACCGGATAATCGTTGGATCTCCCTCGTTTGGTGAAAGGCAAGGAGATTCAATTCACGTGGTCTAGGCGGAGTGGCGGGGTTCGGGAGACGCGTTGTCAAAACGGTGAACCGATCCATCACCGACTCAAACATGCTACCATGTGACCCTTTCACCATTTTGTCCTTCTACACTGTTTAAGTAAAACAAACCACTTGTACCGCTAAGTTTTCTAGCGCGTATCCGATATTTCACGTAAACCACTCAGGGCTGTCAAAATGTGATGCAAAAGATTGGTTTGTGCATCATTTAACGGGATGCTTGGAATCCCAGACAAACGCTGACAGACAGTTCTGAAAAGTTCAGACGCTCACGTGGAGCAGTGTGGCTAAAACAAGAACGTGCACTATAAAGGTTCGTTGAACAAAATTGTTTCGAATCATTTACGCATATAGCGATGATGGGTACTCACCCAACCGTAAGCACCGATTTGGGTCTCATTAATAAACCGAAAAGTTTTGACCATTTCCCTGAAAAATAAAAGGCAATGAAAGTATTGGAGCGTGCGAGTCGAAAAAACTAACACAATTATTTAATGTAGCTGCTTTCTAGCATGCTACCTAATCGACAGTACATAGTAGGGTGGGCTCCTCAGTATCCGTATCTTGAGTATCTAAAAGCTGGTTGCTACGACGATTATCTGGGTGATTATGTACAAAGCTCATCACACGACTGTATTCGTAGAAGCTCCAGGGCATTTCAGAACAGATCGGTCATGTACATGACTTTCTGAGTGCTTATTTCGCTTCACTAGGAAGATGGTTGGATTGATGAAACAAACGTTGCTTATTTGTACACAGTATCATTAGCGTAAATCCACTTTTCTCCACGGCGGATGATTTTCTGTTATTACATCTCTTGGACTAGGAGGGGATTTCACAGTTTATCATGGAAGCATATGAACGCTTCAGTTCCAGCAAAACAAATAAATTAACATCCATATCTGTAAATCTTTATCCTAGCCGCCAAGTTCTAAGAAGTTGGGCAATAGCAGTCTTGTATAGGGAATTGAGTTTACTCTCTGTGCATCCAAGAGCGGCAGGGCTTTCATCAACCCAAGAATTCAGTGGCCACGTTATGTTTAAAAATACTATTATGCGCTCGCTGTGAACTTGAAAGGATTTCTGGCTTTAGCTGAGTTGCGGTTCGATAAATTGATATTGGCCAATAAATAAATTCGAACAGAACAATACGTCTTAAATTTGAATTACACTTGATTTTAAATTACATGTACGTCCTATCTACCAATTTATGACAAGAGTAGCGCTTTGAGATAAGTTAACTAAATATAGACAAATATTTCAGCGGCTTCTGTTAATGTAACTGTACTACCGCCGAAGTACCATATGAATTCTACTCAAGCTATGTTGCGGAAGATGCTTATGCTGTTGAATTGTTACACACATAACGTAGTATTTTCGTGCTTCGCAGCATTCAAGATACAACAGACCGTACGACAAATGAGGCTACTTTTGCTGGGGTTCTTTGTATAAAACCCATATTAAACAAGTTGGTTTACATAGTTGGAATCATTATACGTCGTGTACTTATCAACAGCACAAGTTGGAGGCGGTGGTATCAACAGGATAATAGTTGGTACATATTGATAGAGTGCCATAAATATATCGGAGAAAGGTAAATAATTTTGCACAGCTTTATCAGTTTTAGCCACCACAGCTGTTATATGGAAATTAAAGATGTGCTGATGGTTACTTCAACAATATTTGTTCGGAATCCATTGGAAATTTCGTAGGTGTGTCATAATTCAAAAGCCCCTCTTGGTGGTACAGACAATTCTACACTAGAAGGTTTATTTTTACCAAAGTGCAATTGTACGAATTGATCTTTAACGAGCGCCCACCAGGCTAGAAGCTAGTCTTGGTGAATTAACTGCTTAGAGTGTTTCCCAATTTGGGTCCACCTACATGTGTTGTAGCCTAAAATTTTCACGGCCTTATTATGGATTGCCCTTTGTAATTTGCGTTGCTAAAGTATTTCTGTGTCTGCCGTCGGCCCAAGTTAACTTCCGTAACATAAAATTGGTGGAGCTGATTCTCAAACACAGAAAGGTGTTTTGTTCCATCGATCATTTTGCGGAGTTTCTGGAAGGCTCGTTTGTAATCTGCCACCTCTGTTTTATTAGGAAGTAGCAGAAAAGTAAACATGGAGACACTCACAACACTTGGGATAGCGGCGTTGGCCACCTATGTGATGTTCAAAAGCAGCTCATTATCGTTAGTCTATGCATGACTCACAGCTTCGTCATGGGAACGCCGTAAGCTTATAGGTAGCTTAAAATTTTACAAACATTCTTTTTGGTCACCGTGTCCTGTAGGTGGTATTCACTTTTAAGTTGTTTGAAGAAAGCTGCTTACACCGGCTGCATATATCCCTGGCTCAGTTTGCAATAACGTGCAACTGGAGAACAGTCCATAGAAGCGATGTTATGAATTACAGTATTTGTGGATTCTAAAGGCTGTTACAGTGTCTTATCAAAAGGAATTCCACCATCTCCTAACACTTAAAGCGACTTCCGCGCAAAAATTCAGCGTTGCCTTTCTGAGATGTAAATCCTACGGACGGAGATAGCACTGTTATTTGCTAATCACCCATTAACTTAACTTTTATTTCACTCTTCTTTTCTATCCATGCGAAAATACCGTGTATCAACTCTGCAGTTGCAAAGGGTCCATAGATCTGAGCTGGATTAGGTACTCTTCTCTCATGCTCGCAGATATCACTACATGCTTATGGGCAGCGACACAACTTTTGAAACATAAAAATCTATATTAAGTTCTCCATTTGGCGGTCACTTAGACAAACAGACATTTACATATAGCCTGCGTAACTTCATCCAGACGTACTTCAGTTAAGCATGGTTTAGACCGCATCATTAACATTCAAGACACACATTGATAAAAATTTTATGTTCACATATCCAGATATTTGTGGGGTTGCTTTCGCAAGCAAGAAATTTAATGGCCCAACTGGTGTTCCAGTAAGATTTTAGTGAACAAAATATAGGAAATTTCCCAAATTTGTTATAATCGTACTACAAACTATTGATACACAGCTTAATTCTCTTTGGTTATGATAACGTGTTTTGCTTCCTGGATGCAAAGGTAAACCTTGAGTAGCTAAATTTACTGAGAACGCGGCCACTCGTAGTCAGGCAACCTCGGAATTATCTATAGGATCCGCTAACGGCTGAGCGGATAAAAGCTTTGAGAAAACATTCATTGCTGCTTGGGGCTGACAAATCACAACAATTTCCTTACATCCTCCTTCGTCCGCAAGTATAGTTGAAGTACTCTTATAGTAGCTCTTTGTTCACTCAAAACTAATAAGTGACATAGTATCCACGTTCTATCTAAACATATTTCCAGACGGAGAATGTTGCGTATATTATCTTTCTCCCCAATACACTGCTTACAATGTGTAGCCATTGGTTTTCCCGCTTTACTTACCTGACAGGTTAAAACAGTCTCATAACCTGAAAATTAAGCTGATTTTGATCTCAAAAATCCATTAAAAATATATCTCTACAAAGACGTTGCTAAATCATTTTATTTAAACCTTCCCCCAGAGATTGGCCTTAATTGTCCTTATCCATACCAAATAAATATCTCTATTTTGGTGGGGATTAGCGTCACTTACCTCCCTTCTGCATTCGATTTAAAGCACTTAAGCTTGCGAAGTACATTCTTATATTTTCAGTCAATTATGAGCAGTCGGATTGCTTCCATAACCTGCTAAAGTACGTAACTCACTTGATAGCATGAAGCTGATCTTCAATCTCGACAACGCCAAGTTTTCTGTAGATTGCATGCTCGAAACGGATCCCACGTCCTCCGGTTCCTCTACCATCAACCACTGCAACGATAACCTTTGCTGTGGCAGCCAGAAACGTACTCCAGTCGAGTAGAAACTTCGTAGTAACCAGTTGTTTTGAGGGTCCTCCGTAACTTAGAAAGTGAGAAGCACATTTGAGAAAAGCTATGGTACGTGCATTAGACTTTAAACAAGATATGCTTTCAGTTGTTCTGTTTGAAAGAAAATGGCTCACCTTAACATTTGTTTAGATCGACTGGAGATGATGTATCTTATGCCATTAAAAGCGTTCTATCTGCCAGCAAACCGATAAATTTCTCAAAACTTTATATTCTAGTAGACTGCCATGTTAGGAAATGCATTTCTTAGTTATGAAAATTACTGACTGAGCTACGGTAAGCTGCTTAATATCTCAACTTGATACCTGAAGTACGACCAAGTAGTTACATCGACCACTTTGTTACAGGGATTGGTAAAATCAACCTAATGAGGGCGATTAGCGCAAACGCGTTTGTGATAGCTATAATCTGTTTACTAGCGGCTCCGCTGTTGGTTGCACGTTTACAGTTCATTCTATGTTGGCAAGAAAACAATAGCGCCTGACACAAACTGCTGCTCGTTCACTAGTGATACAAAGTTTGACATCAAATAAGTTAGAGCACTTGTAGTCACTAATTTTATATCGTTAAGGCAGAGAGAAGACAGAGGTTGCGATATGTCAACATTTCGATTGTTCTCCTCAGTCGCAAACACAATACGATCAGAAACATACAGGGGATTATATACAAGGGAAAAAAGGCACCACCAATCAAAATGTCACAGTCAAGACCATGGCAACCGAATGGATTGCCTCAAGAGTTTCTGTGCACATAGCACAGGTTGATAAGCCTTAATTAACAACGCCGCACTAATTGCTAGCATTATCGGGTTTTTGTTACGTAATAACACTTTGAACGCTGTCTCGGGGTTTACGTGATGACGGGTTGTCATGAGGTGCTTGGTGATAGACGATGCCGGGCTCCGATTGATTCTCAGATTCGTCCCATGTTGTTGCGTAATCACTTGTCCCAACCACTTTGGCAAGTGTTCAGCTACCCTCTGAGCTAACTGACGGTTTGTTCTGCCTATGTAAATGTCACCGCAACCGCAGGTGAACTGATAAACAACGTGAGAGGCCGAACTACCCGACGAGATGCTCTGACGGTTATGAAGAACAAGTGCTCGCGTGGTATGCCTGAGTCGCAACTGGGCTGTCGTGTAGGTTCGCGTTAGGGCGGACCGGAGCTTGCGTCCGATGTCATTTGCCACATGGTCCCCCTTGAACGGCAAGAACAAATAAACATTCTTTTTCTCAGCCGTAAGCAAAGGTGTTTTCCAGCTGGGAGGTCTGCTGTGTACCTGAATAAACTTCTCAGGATATCCATTAGAAATTAATGTCTTGCGTAGAAATTCTTCTTCGGCTTGTAACGTTTCGGGGCTACAAATACGCCTAGCCCAGTAGAAGAGAGTTCTCACTAACCCGCCCCGATCGCATACAAACGCGGGTTAGTGAGAACTCTCTTCTACCGCGCTAGGCGTATTTGTAGCCCCGAAACGTTACAAGCCGAAGAAGAATTTCCATGCAAGACATTAATTTCTAATTGATATCCTGAGAAGTTTATTCAGGTACACAGCAGACCTCACAGCGTGAAAACACCGGTGTTGACGGCTGAGAAAAAGAATGTTTATTTGTTCTTGCCGTTCAAGGGGGACCATGTGGCAAATAACATCGGACGCAAGCTCCGGTCCGCCCTAACGCGAACCTACACGACAGCCCAGTTGCGACTCAGGCATACCACGCGAGCACTTGTTCTTTATAACGGTCAGAGCATCTCGTCGGGTAGTTCGGCCTCTCACGTTGTTTATCAGTTCAACTGCGGTTGCGGTGACATTTACATAGGCAGAACAAACCGTCAGTTAGCTCAGAGGGTAGCTGAACACTTGCCAAAGTGGTTGGGACAAGTGATTACGCAACAACATGGGACGAATCTGATAATCAATCGGAGCCCAAGATCGTCTATCACCAAGCACCTCTTGACAACCCGTCATCACGTAAACCCCGAGACAGCGTTCAAAGTGTTATTACGTAACAAAAACCCCGATAATGCTAGCAATTAGTGAGGCGTTGTTAATTAAGGCTTATCAACCTGTGCTATGTGCACAGAAACTCTTGAGGCAATCCATTCGGTTGCCATGGTCTTGACTGTGACATTTTGATTGGTGGTGCCTTTTTTCCCATGTATATAATCCCTTGTATGTTTCTGATCGTATTGTGTTTGCGACTGAGGAGAACAATCGAAATGTTGACATATCGCAACCTCTGTCTTCTCTCTGCCTTAACGAAATGGTTTATGGTGACCCACTCTTTTACTATTTTTATAGGTATTTAGCGCTTTGCAGTTTGCTGCAAAGCCGAATGCAGAGAAATTGGATAAGGAAAAGAAGATGCGTGGCCGGCTATGGTGCTGTATATGGCACAGTCGTGCTTTCATAAGTAATGGTGTGCTTTCAAGTTTTATTATTACCGCTAATAATTATTGGTATGCTTTACTCTAGGTCGACGCAATTCCCTACAAACTAAAATATTGAACGGATAGCTAGCATGCGCACGATTCGTGAACGGTTTTTATTTCCTTAAGAAATAGAATAGCATAATCTGAAGCGGCTTCACCGTGGTTCCGAGCTGTCATCTGTCATATATGCTGGCATCCGCAGTGCACTGAAACCAAAAACATATCAACGGTACACTTTGGTGGAGGAACTTTTCTTATCAGAGAAATAACATGCTTGAATTTGGCGCCACGGACGGACTGTTCATCTGAAGGTGCTTTCATGTATATTTCCTAGATTTTACGACTGCCTGCCTTCTCCAACTCAAGCTGGTGGACTAATGTTGATAAAGCCGGATGTATCGAAATGCGCAAAACTTTGTTGCGAATACATTGTGGTTGAAAATTTTTAGCATCGATTATAATACCCATGAAGTACTAAAGTTTGTTAGCTTTTTCCAACGCTAGGAAGTATTAAGTAACTTGTTTAATGAATCTGTTTGAATAACTTAGTGGATGAGGCTACAAATTAATTGAGAAAACTCAGTGTTAGTTGTTTGTGCTTAGTGCCATCCGAGCCCCATACTGCTCCAACAAACGGATAGTCCTTTGCACTTAACTGCTGTCACTGCTACAACAACTTTCTTTAGGCTGTAAGTAGTTCTTCCGCAACTGTAAATAAATATAGAAAATCGATTTTGGAACAGTCTGATAAGTATCATAGTTTTAGAAAATATTGTAGGACGCACAGACCAGTAATACAGCTTGTAAAGGTTGCACTTAAGCCTGTTGTGGGGACGAAAACCTCGTTTCAGACTTTGAGTTACGCTATTGGAACCCCATTTATGATGTACCTGGCAACTCACGTAAAAAGCAGCAGCGGATATTTGGTTATATGCTGTTTGTTAAGCGCTGGAGGAAGCATTAGTTTTGCATCCACCTTGAGCTGATCTCGCGTTCCTTCACGCAGCGTTAGATTGACAAATTCAATTTTGGCCATCGCACGAGAGTTTATCCTTTGTCTAAACATCATGTTATCCAACAGGGTGAACCTGTGGTAGGCGGAGACAAAGTGACCTGCAACGCAGAAACACCTCACGCTATTTATAAGAAAGAAGGTATTTTGTCTTCGTAGAAAAAGCATGCGGTCTATTAAGGGGAGTGTACAGAAGGTTTGATTATTCTTCTTTGGCAAAATCAATGAATTCCAAGTTAATTTTCAAGGCTGACATAAATAAGAATTAACATGTATCCAAGAAGCAATCGAAAGGTTTAGGGTAAAATAAGTACTCATAGAATCTTACGGAATGTGAGCAAAAACGATTTCTAGTGCTAGGCCTTTGGTGACAGGTGGACGGATTGACACATACTGATGATGATGTGGTGCGGCTTCTCTTTCGTGCCGAGTACTTTATCATAGCGCATAGAACATGAATGGATATCACAAGCCAGATTCCTCCCACTTAAGCGTAAACTTTCATGCATCATTAAGTAAAACTAATCAAGCATTATTTGCAAAAAGCATAGACGCAAGCCCAAGCAAGAATTGAAAACACACAGTTTCCTTCCGTTAACATAAAGGTATACGTCAATATACAAATAAGTATACAATCGAATCTGTACTGTACTGATGAATTACACTTACGCAAATTAAGCAACCATGTATGCACTCAATTAAAACACACCATTTCAAATGAACTCAAAAGCTTTTATGCAATGACGTCAAAGTAAGTTTCATTAATCAGCTTATTGTTAACATGAAACAAGTTGGACGTTTCAACGTGGTTTGTTCTACGTGTACCACAGCTACAACCAAGCCTATAGTGCACATAGCTTGACCGACAATAAAATTTGAGGATGCGTTATACAAGCCGGTGCGGCCGGCTATATCGACCATTATCCAAAACAGGGCCTTTGACTCGGCCATTGCCTTCGCACTGGAACATCGCTATTACATTATCGGCCGCAGATTTATCAGTTTCCACCAAACTTTTTGACGTTTCTTCGGTTAGACTAGTTAGATGGTCACTAACGTCGCTCTTCGCCGATTTTTCAGAGTGGAATTTGTAATACTGCACATATTGCGCGGTTATCATAAAAAGTTTTGTAGCTTAAGTAGTGCTCGTCCGGATCTATAAACTGGTTTTCGACACATTATTATCAACATGATGCTTACTCGGGATGGGTTATTTGAATGACTACTGCACCCCTAATACCAATTTTTCCAGCCTAACACTTTTGCTTTTTATTGTAGCTGCTTGCAAACACCCGCAATGAATATTGTAAAGATTAAAATGCACTCTCTCGGATATACAAAGTTTAGATTTGCATGAGTTGATGTACACTGGTGTATCTATGGAGACCTCTAATGGTAAGGACATTATGTGTCAACGAGAATTGTGTAGAAGAAGCTTAGCGTAAATTCTGTTTGCACAGCACTACGCTCCTATTCGACTGGAGACAATAGGTTCCTCCGTAGCTGAGATGTTTGTTTAAAGTCCACGTTAAAGCCTAACAGTATTTAGCCTTTCAGTAAAACTGCCACTAAATAAATATCGTTATCATGTAAATATTTCCAGCAGTATAAGGTTTAGAATAGCTACTGTAAGATAACTGGATCCGAATTTATAAGGCAAAATCAAGCGAGACATGATACTTGCTGGACCTTGGCCACCTAAACATGGTCCAAAAAATAAGCGTCTCAAAGCTATTCAGAGACATTTATGCAGCCAAAAATGACCGTAATGCTTCGTATAATGAACAAGATTACTACCGGTACTTACCGAAATCTCATATTGCCATTATAGTACCAGTCATACTTCACTCCTAATGACTTAATGAAATTATGTAAATGAATTCTAGGGATTTTATTGTGGATTTTCAGTTAATGTGTATAGATAGTGGCTTAGTATGCTCAGTACAATTAATCTATTTAAAGTTGCGGAGTAAAATGAGAAAGCATAGTGACTTTCGGAGTTGCTGAGTATCATACACCATTCAAAGCACCTTGCTGCCATGCAGATGACGTGGTAGCCCCCAACCAAGCTACCCAATTCGCTGTACAGCAGTAACCTACAAGCCAGCGGATGGTGAGCGACGCTACATTCCATCTAGTAACAAAGTCATGATGGCCATTGCCATCACCCGTAGTTAAAGGGTCTTAACCACAGACCTACTAAGGTCGAGTTGGGATCAGCACTGCTAATAAATCCGAACAGGGTGAAACTGCCGTACGGTGCATTTTCGGACATGAATTAGCTGTCTGCCTGAGTTTGTATATGATGAAATTTTATTCACACTATTTGAGTTCCTACTCCATCGCTTGCTGATACTTACATCTAACCGAACGGAAGTGGATTAGACGGGAGATTAAAGTATCGCATCATCGATGAATCTTTTCATTTATTTACTTGAGACCAAGTACTGATTAGCGCAAAATGAATTTATAAGCATCCATACTAGCTTGCAAATTAGGCCGGTTTTCCGTCTCTAAATGCTGCTAGAAAATAGGCGAAAGCACTACATGGTAGTATTGTCATATTGTGTTATGTCGGACCAAAGGTAGACATTATTGCGGCAGTTTCAGCCGCATAGAAGTTCCAGCAAAGCAAACAGCGACGGGTCAACTGTGGGCCATAAGAACCCGGAAAAAAGAGGAACACTTTGGAACCGCCGATATGCAAAGGTAAAGCACGCCACATAGCAAATAGACACAGAAGCAGTGCGCGCCACGCAACCTCCAACGTTTACTTCTCATGTGTCAATTGTTTCTTTGTCTTAGTTTACTGTCATGAATATTCAAGCTTTCTAAAATAATTAGTTAAGTTCGACACATGGGTGAGACTACCGATTAAAACTATTAGGGTAAATTCTCTCTGCATTTATCAGCTAGTGAATGCTAACGGTTTTTGGCTCCATACAGCGAGTATACTTTGTAATATATGTGGGGTAAATAGATGTCCAGTAACCAGCTCATTTAATCTATGGAGTTCCGAGTTTTATTACATGTAGAAATGGAAATCATAAGCGAAGCATCCATCAATAAAAGAAATACAACAGTAATACCCGAATTTCAGATAAGCTTGAACGTACCACCGGAGATGTCCGTTGTTCGGTTAATGGTTTTCAGAAAGTAAGAAGGCACATCTGGTCCACGACACTCTTGAACAAAATGCCATCCATCTGAGGAAACTTTTGCTCGATTGTAGGTACAATTTCCATTATCACATGTCAAGCAGTATATATCACCACCTGCTGAGCCCCTGAAATTAGCAAACAGTACGGTTGACATGGTAGTAATATTTAGCTTGACGAATGGGAGAGGTCTGCTGTGGAAACAGTAGCAGTAGAACTTCGAGAACATTGTAATTGTCATTTCGCTGGCGTTGAAAACTGAAAGAAGGAAACGCTAGATTAAGTATCCAAACAGACCTCGGTTTTCCACGTGGTTTCATAAATTACGAAAAATTCAGATGGATGTACTAGTTTGTCGCTGATTCTCGTTTATTTGCATCGGATATTAGCGAAATTTAAATTCAGCAGTTTTTAACTATTGCAAAGATTTGGCATCTACTACATTAATGGCAGACTGATCAAGACCCATACCGCTCTCACCTCCTTGGATAGTGGGACGCCCGCTTGAAATCCGTCATTACAAGCATGTACGTGTGCTCTTGTGTGATGAAGAGTGTTCGCAAGTTGAGCAGAGTTTTCAACACGTGGAAAGCAACTAGTTGTACGTCGCGATGGATCACGACGACATGGACTCCCAGCCCAAGATATGACAAGGTGTAGAGTCCTAGTTTCACCCACCAATCTTCATACCGCAAGCCCCGTAAACTGTGGAGGAGACTGGTAGCGATATAGGTAGCTCGTTAAACCTTCCGTGTTTTGATTAAGGTGGACAAAACAGTAGATAGGCGCAGTGTACTCTTGTCTTGGAAGGTACGAGGCTAGCAGAGAGCTCTTCAGGCCAAGCAAAGAAGCTGCGTTTGAGTACCGCAAGCACGAGCAACATTTTATGAAATTTGACTGCTCCTGTCATGCCGCGGTATGACTTAGTGGGCCTGCTTGAAATGGTGAGTAACCTGATTATTGCAATTCGTGGACTATTAAAAGCCACCTAAAGATTTAAGGAGGATTCTTTTCCGATCAGCATTATGTATCTTCAACTTAATGATAGCAGACATAGACAGTTCTCATCCTACTGGATTCAGATTTGGAAGAACATGAATGTTCGAGCGTTCAGTTTAGTCAAGCTCGGCAACATCAACTTCCGACTAGATTTTCCCACAAAGCTCCTTTACACTGGCTGAATTTCCACAAAATTATGCCAATACACGTATGAACTGGTACCAAAAGCCATCTGTCACGTGCAGAACACCGGTTGCACCAGGGCGGGAATACTGTGACTTAATCCGCACCTATTCAAGTCCTAGCTGATGTCTAGGAGTGCAGGCTCATTACCTGCGAAGCTCTACCACCGATAGTTTCAACAACCCAACAGAAAAGTATCAGGCGCTAACATCTATCGTCAGTTGTATACTCATCTAAAATTTACGGATAATCTTAACGCCTTCAAAACTGGCGTTACCTAGAAGTTTTTTACGGCACGGTTACCAAGTGTTTACAATTAGATGTTTGATACTGACCTGACACAAGTAACGTGAATGGTTCAGAAAAACCATATATGCTAGCCGAGCTAAAGGGGAAAAGTAATTCAAATTCTACCCGCACATGAGGCTGTCCAGTTACAGTAAATTATACTGTGCAACTTAAATAGTAACAAGCAACCCAGCACTTTTGATACAGAAGCGTTGTCAGACTAAACGAACTCTCGGGGGATTTGTGTAGCTCTTGTAGGGCACAATAGGACAACGGTTTTAAGCTGGTGAGGCGCTGTTTAATCGAGGATACTAATATTAAACAGAGAGAAGAAAACAAATTACTACATGGAATCATTGTAACTGAGGTCGCTGATAATGCTTAGCCGCCCGCGGAAAATGTGATGATGATGATGACACATTTACGATCAACAAACTGGATATAATTCGTGAGTATTTAATTGGTTGGACCTTCTTAGCAAGACTATTACAATTCTCTAAGAAGTTGGAAAGTTGCAGTTGTACTTTATTCTTCCTTGACTGCTCGGATCACAGGAATGAAAGCAGTCTAAACCGATAGTGTTTTTAAACGACGGACACACATTTGGTATTTCGTCACAGTTCAGCTCGTCCAAAGCATGGGTATTTGGAGTTTGTCTTATTTTTGTTCATCAAAACCCTGACTATCTGCACAGAAGAAGAAATGGGTTGCCACTCAAATGAGGCGTTGAACGGAGTGTTCCACAGCGGATACTCAGTGCTGTCAGCAAAATATCAATTGCCAAAGTTCGGCTCCTAAAGTATGGCTCACCTCGCTGTTGAATGGGGACAATAGAAACTCCTTATAAAGACGGAGAAGTAAAGGCCGTTCTGGTGACAAGAAACAGAGAAAAAGTTGATCCTTTCGAATCACTGCACGCTCCGTTTGGTGCTGTTGCATTTCTAGTAGACACTTTCTACAGAAATGAGGAATAACTGCGTTGGTAAAATTAGCTTCAAGGTCTGTGGACAGAGGTACATAGGCCAAACATCGTGAGGTTTCCTAGCAGTTTAACGTAACACAATAAGCGTATGTACTGGTCGCGGAGGAACGAGTCAGAATGCAGTGCTCTGCTGAGAGATTCAGCGGTACCGGTGCGCGCACAATGTACGCAATATGGGATAATCGTGACTAGTGTCAAGATAATTAGGAAGTGGTTGTGCTTAGCACATAAATTTGGGTGATGTGAATGCATAAACTCCCCAAGATAACAGCTGCGTAAACAGAACGAGTGTGTGAGTTTGACAAGTGTTATCGTGATGTCTTAACCCCGGAAAGTTCGAGTAGCGGAGCTGGATGCGTCCGGCATAAAGAAAGAAAACTCTCATACTCTCCTTATTAACAGGATCTAAGGTGTGATGACATAATATCATGAGTCACTTGCAGTGTGCTACTAAATATGACAAGTTGGCTTGTAACACGGTAACCCATTCTTCTCTCTGTCCGTGAAGATCCTATCAGTTGGCTAAAAACCCTCCACCATTCACACGCTGATTCACTTGGCCTGTAGAGGCTTTTGTGTCGAAAATGAAACCGTAACTGTCAAGCAGCACAACCTGTTGTTTAAAAGCCATGCAGATGTCATGAGCTCTCAATAAGTTACAAGCATACTTCAAGTTGAAAAAATATTTTTATTCCTTTGCGAGCATTATTGATTAGGATATATCTTATGCTTACAGTATCACGTGAAACTTCCGAGAAACTTTGATTTTAATATAAAGTGACTCGGTGCAGCCTCATTTTTTCAGGAGTCCGGATATATTATGCCAAATCAATTAAATGGGGCAGACAATGTGATCCTTTTCAAACGTTATGCCTCAGAAGGTGTTACAAAGAATCGCTAATACAAGGCCCCATCCAACATGCTTTCTCCACCTTTTGTGCTGCCTTGAAATAATTAAACATTTTTCTTTCACAAGTGTTTGACTTAAGGAAACAAGGAAAATTAATGCGCGGAAACACAAATCTAAGGGCGATTTTTATTTTATCGGTTTGATGCTGAGTACAGGAAAGTATGAGTTGGCTGAGTAGAAAAATGACAGTACCATTTGCTGAAACTTACTAACTCCCGATGAGCCTGTTGTTACTCATGGTTAAGGGAAATGAATTAGCGCTTATCTGACAGTAAATAGCGTTAAAGTCCCAAACAACAACGAGCTCCCTGAGTGCACGAGCCTGATGCTTAAAAAGTCGTGCGCAATCAATTCACCCTAATGATACGCTATTATAGGAGAACAGGATAGTAAAATCTCGTTTACGACTATACATTCTTTGGTCGATCAGTAACGTACTTTTGTAAAGTAGGCTTTAAGTGGCTGTTAGATGATCAATCTCTAACCTGGCTGAGTTTGAATGCAGTGTTCCAGAGGGCTTAGTGCCAGGACTGCACTTTAGCCCGGTGTTTATCGAAGACTTGGATAAAGTTTTGCCTTTGGTTTAATGTTTTGCTCCGAGGAGGTTATGATAGTGTAGGCGATTACTAGCACCGGAGCTCATGTTTTCATACTGCGTGACCAAAGTCGTGTCCTTGGGGATCGACGAAGAACCTACCCCAGTTCAACAAAACGAGTGCAAGGCGATTCACATGCGCTATCAGCCAATGGCAGTTTACAAAGTACAGGTTACTTCATGGGAGGGTGAACGGGGTGTACAGGTGCAGTTCGATCTCAGATGCCCTCTTCACAGAGCATTCGGCCGGTTTGACCCATCAATCATCCCGCAAATGCTTAATACTTACTTGCAACTGTACGTGAAATATGGCATCCAGACACGGAACCGTGGCAAAAGCAAGACCTTGCTGCTCTTGAGATTCCTCAGAAAAAAGAGTCCAAAAATCTTAGGGGACTCTTCCAATTATCCTACTAGGTTAGTTTGAGGTTTATTGAAAAATACGGAGGTTGATATCGGTGCGGACTTATCTTCGTTTACCAAATGATGAGTAACCCAAACCGTCCACTGCTGGAACAGAACCACAACATCAGCTTAACAGTTTATATAGCTGACAAGAAGGTATAGCCACCTGGAATGCTCTCGAAATTGTTCATCCCTTCGAGCATGCCAGCTCTAGAACACTACCAACATATGTTGTCTCCGCACCCAACGTGACGAAATATAAATGCTACCTGAAGAAGCATTGGCTTACCAGCGTTTCATTTCATAAGTTGTTTCAACGAGAGCCTAAAAACACAACCAAACGGTAGGTGTTCAAAGGTCAACTAGCTTTAGTTTTATATATCACCATGCGAAGCGCTCGGCTGTTTTATGTATGTCTCAATGCGGACAATATAGTGATTCCAAGAAAAATCTTATCATTTTACATTCATATTGTTTTTATAATTACTTTCCAAATCACGGGGACTTGTTAAGCGTTACTTTTCACCCGTACTACACCATTGTTGCGTTGTTCTTAATTGCAGGCTAATGATGTTTTTAACCTCGTTACAACAAAGTAATCTAAACCAGCGTTATTTTTATAATTTAAGCACAGAATGACACTTTTTGCATTGCATTTTAATAAATAGCTGTGCTAACCTCTACTTGGAATAATTTGTCTGATGCAGTGCTTTCATATGCCAGCTGACTACGCTCAAAGGTTCCCTAATCCTAATCTGACGCATGACGTATTTTTTCCCATATTATTTATTCACTGAATTTTTCCCGTCCGCAGTGCATTAGTAGTCCGGAAAATGGCCTACCTCTTTGAAAGTAAGGAGCCGAAAGAATAGGTTGTCCGTACGTAACCGGTTTATTGAAAATTTCCAGGGTCTTTGTAAAAACTGATTAGACCTACACCAACAAATTGCGGGTTGGACCTCCTGTAGAGAACATTAGGACGTCTCGATCACAATTCCCTTCCACATGCCCTTCTCCTACCAAACTTGTCTACTATACCTCACCATTTCTTCGTGAAGCTCAACCTTTAACTCGTTCCGTCCTACGTTCCCTAAAATCGTTAGTATCGCATTCCCACGATCCAAAATTGCCTCTCCACCTTTGTATAATATTTTTTACGATTTTTAGCACCAGGCTCTATACTGATTAGGTGACCTTCACTCCTCACCGGTCACGACTGTCTGTTGACCATTTGTCCCCACCGATTATGCATGTCTGACCACTCCTTCCTTTCCGTATGAGCATTTGTGACTCATTTGGTGGACGATCCAAACAGGTCAAATTCACACTCCCTTGAGGCTTACACAATCCAAATCCCTTTTGCGTGACCAACCAATCCCACCGCTTTACCCGTCATTTAAACACACCGTGTGTAAATTAGTACCGTGACTTCGTACAGCGGACGCTCTGAAGCTGGACTTGTTGACTCGGATCAAACGATTGTCATTGTAACTGTTCTGAGTTTGAAAGCATAATCGTTGAGGTATTTATTATATTTGGTCATTTATTCATTTATAAATACTACCTTTATCCAGTTCCGGATTTGATGTTTCTTTGATCCCGGTGGAAAGTGTCGCTAGAATCTTCCAATCGAATTTTATTGCTTACAACTCCTATTGAGGTGTTATTTATTATATGACCCCAACTATGGCTATGGATTTATGCAGAGAAAAACGTACTTTAGATTGTTTTGGCTTATATTCAAACAAACAAACGTAATCAGGCGAGTTGGCTCAGACTACAGTTTTGTTGTGTGAACACCGTCAGTAGTGCAGCATGCAGAAGATCACATCGATGCGGCCACAGAAAGATTCAGCATCACAGATGTCAGGCAATTAAAAGAAAATACTCACCAGTATACGTGAAGATTCTTTGGATCAGGACCGGGAGATAGAAATAGAAATTCGTCTATTCCGTTGAAATATAAAATATCCGTCACATCGAAAGAAGGTGCTATCATCCACCTCACTTGTTGTTTTATCTCCGTGCCACTTAGGTCCTACAGAAATATAAAAAACAAATGGATATTTAAAGCAGCTACTTTCTTTCAACCATCGGAAAAATTTGGAAAAAGACAAAGGCTGGTAGATGTCTGAATTTCGTATTGTTCCCACAGTACCACTAACCATAACTGGTGTGCGCGGATATCGTTAACAGTGGGTTCAACCAGACAAACTTAGGGCTAAGAATAAATAACGGACGTTCACCCATAAGTCCAGGGCAGCCTTAGGATGAGGATGACGCTACAAGCCGCAGGAAGCTAGCTTTAAGCGTTTAGAACCAAATATTCGTCAGCCGAAGTCTGCCTTGGACTTATGCGTGAACATCCATTATTCGTTCTGCGTCTCAAGCTTGTCTGGTTGCACCCAATGTTAACTATATCCGCGCATATCGGTTATGGTTAACCGTGCTAAGGAGGTGTTTATATACTATAGATGTAATGCAGTTCTAATGCCTTGGGGCACCATCAACAGTAAGTATAATTTAACCTACGTTTAGAGTAGCAAATTTGAAGACATATTTCTGTTCTGCTCACAAGACGGCATTTGTAAATGCTTTAGTAGCAGTTAGATTCTGAAGGATGTCAGCCTCAGGTTGCTCATTCAGCATAGACCTAGATGACATTACAGCTTAATTAAATAACAAAGGGTAAAACAGTGAAAATTTATTGCACTGTCTCCAGTTGAACTAAGTAAGACTACACTTACCACACTCAACCTAGCAATCCCTCGATAACCGGCTTCAGTGTACTCCCTAGGCAGAATGATGAATAGGCTTTGAGATTCCGGATGTACCAACGGTTCGTTTGACATTTGCTTGAACTATGGGCAACAGAAAGACATTTTGAACCATCAGCCATAAAAGTAAACAAGCAAGATGAAAACTTCAGCGGCTAAATATAAAGCGTACTTTAGTTGTACTACTTATGATTACCTATGAGAAAACTAACCATATCGACCCATCCGTCGGTAGCGGACGTTTTGAAGATCTGTAGAGAAAATATAAACGAAAAAGTGTAGACTGCAATTTAGAGTCAAAAAATTTTGCAGGTTTAAATATATCATCATACAAGATTCCTTGCCATGAACTTAAAAGTTTACAAGGACGCAGCTTAACACCTCTAACAGACCATGCTATTTGTTGGCTATTCTTGCAATGGATCATACCACGCAAGGCAATAATGTTATTCATTTGTATAATTTAGCAATTCTTAACTGTGGGCTTGCCACCGATTGTAGTTGAAAGGCTAACCACTATTACTTCTGTTGGCTGTCAGTTGTCGATATCGATAATATTCGGCAGTATTTCATTTAACCTGCGTGCTGCTTTCCCCAAAAGCATTGCCATCTATGTTACTTTGCTGCGTGTTACCGCTGAGTGAGGAAGAAGAGTAATGGAAACTAACCGTTTGTAACTTTTTAGGGTTTATGTTCTTATTTTTGACTTTCTGGTCACGGAAGTTCAGGCTCATTTCCTCCCTCCATGATTACTTTAAAGCGCGCGCACAGCAAAATTTCTTTTGCGAACTATATTCCTCTGTTTTAATATATTAATCCAAATATTTTACCCCGCAAATCCTAGGTGAATACGGTGAGAACTGCTTAAGTGAAATTTGTCGATCATGATCTTTTCAATTTATCCTATCCCAGCGAAAATGCGTCAAGCCATCACCATGAAAACGTGAAAATCTGCACGGCCATTCTTCCACAATGGAAAACGAAAAATAGCATAGTATCCTCAATCCTTCAATAAATAACCCTGATATACCATCTGAAGCCAGAATTTAGTATCCCAAGCTTTGTATTGACAATGGTTCACAGAACGTTCGTTGGGCAAAAATTCATCTTAAACAGATACCAAGAAATATGAAACTCCTTACTGTAGATGTAAGCGTTTGTGCATAGAAAGTAGCGTTTATATTCCGATTCACAATGGCTAAATTTGCGACAAGTAAAAGCAGCTTAGCAGGTAAACTGTTGTGAAAAATGTCTAGTTGAGAAAGCACCTAATACATAGAAACACTGGTTTAAATTCCTTATAAAATATCGTATGTACAGCGTTCCCACTGGTCCAGGTAGTCCTAAAGAGGTTCATTCAATATGTGGGATTAAATGTTGCAAGGACCTCATTACCCTTCATTATCTGGTCCTCTACAATTTTTACTCAGCCAAACATGCCTACAAGTTACCCCAAAGTGTGAACCGCAAAGTAGTTGCGATCCGAGACTGACCTGTTCATTTTTATTGGTTCTGCATATTCTGTCTACTCAAACATTGCCATCCTACAGTCACGCAAAAAATTGTGAACTGGAGAAGCAATGCGGACTAAATCTGATTTATCTACCCTCGTTTGAATTTCCCATCGTTTTTGTTTATTTGGTCACGCTTTCCTTGTTGCTTTCAGGCAAAAGCAGCGTCTGATATGCTAACCAAGTTTGCCCCAAACAGCATCCTTATTCTCCACATTCTTTGGTGTCGAAATTGACTAGGTCTGCCGAAAGGTTATACCAATATGACTTAGATGGCTGAGCCCTGTAAACCAGATGTACATCATCTGTCCATATAAATGTCACATTCTCTTGTCTCTTTTGTTGTGCAGATGTAAGCCAATGAGTGAACACCAGCTTCATTTATATCTTTGTCCTTGTATACTTTTTTCGAAATTTGTCAAAATATGGGAAAGCATGCTGTTTAAATCAGCTATTGTACTCCAGGCGCTTGGCAGTATTTTTCTAATATTCCTCGAAAACCACACATATCCTCCTCATGTCAAAATCAGAGATGAATAGAACTTGCTTAGGTCTGTACACTGAGCCTAGTTTTATGATTCTACGGAGTAGACCATATCTTTTGTATTTTGGAATGTTGAGCAACACCTAAGTCAACGGAAAAATCAAATGATTTTTAACAGCAAACCACGCCACTTCTCCACACCATACGACAGACGCAGTTACGCAGACTCGTGGCCTTAAGGATCACAAGCCTGTCTTTTCTTCCGAGGGCGCGAGTTCGAGCCTGCGTATGAGACAAGGTGATCTGCACAACAAATTAGCCCACGTGCAAATTGTGGTAATCGCGCTACTGCGAAGCTTCGGTACTGTGTACAAGCGATTTGGTGATACCTTTCTTCTTGCAAATACAGAGCGCACCTAAAATGTTTTATTCTGTGAATTATAATTATGAGATGATTTTCCTTTTTAACGTTCATTTACTAATGCATCTTACTTAGAATGACTTGAGCAGATCTTAGAAGTTATACTTATAAAGACGACGATTATTCCAAATAGTTTTGTTTAAAGTACCTGCTGTATAAATAGTCCATCGCGTTCACCGGCGTTGTGCACTTTACTGGATAGGACTCTCTATAAAGTGGCAACACTGTGAACTAATCTAACAAAATTGATGTCTTATAAGTAATTCTTTCATTTGAAGTGCGGAGAGGAACTAAATGACAGCTGGGCTGTTGTTGTTTTCGGTTACCACAAACTAGACGCAATACACTGTTATGTGTGCTTTGGTCGAATAACTGAGTCTACCTGTGACAGACCTGACTAGAAAGCAGATTACTTTTGCGTGTTGTTCTACCATTAAAGAAACCCATATTTTTACAGGAAGTTTCAGTTACATCTGGTCATAAAGGGCAAGTATACTAAATGTTGTTAGATCACTAAACTACACTCTTTAATGTAACTTAAACAGAGGATCAGTTAAATCAAAAGCTTAAGCAAAAAATAAGGTCAGATATTGGTGCAATTTTTGCAGTCACAAACTTGCACACATGAAAGAAAAGCGGTGTCCCATAAGTGGGAGGAGATAAGATGCTTACCCCGCACAGGTACGCTAAGAGCCACGGCGTGTTGGTTCGACGTGTGTGATATAAAACGATAGCCTCCAGTATCTAAAGCATATTGGGACGTTGGTCACGCATTATCAAGGTTAACTACCCCTCAGAGTGGACTCGGTAGCCTGTGGTCAACAAGTGTCCTGTAAACAACGAGAGAGCGCGGTTTCCCGATTCAACACATTTCCTTGTTACAGTCAGCATCCGGCTGTGTAACCAATAGATGATTTCGTTGCTTCGGACACTTGAATCTCGGATAGCAAACACAAATCATTCGATGACCTCTCGTCACCGAATGCATCTTGAAGAGTCGTTCATCGTGCTAATGCGCGATTAAAGGCTGCACATCCTTAAGTTACTGGAAGTCATATTTATTCACCGTGAATGACCACCATGGTGCGTTCGAGAATATTTGACTGTGGCTATAAAAGTGCACAAGTAGCACAAGCTCCTGGTCATGCGATGAAGATAAAGGTACAAGAAAAGGTTGGTTATCTTACAGATTTCTTCCACCCATTTCTCTTTTGGTAATTATAAGGAGAAATTATTACTTCGAATTTCATAAACAATTTGTTGTATTATTGAAGTGTAGACGCGCAAATGTTCTATTCGGTTAATTTTTGTCCATCAGTGGTTTACGCGTAAATGGGTAGTAGCATTCGTGTTTCGTCTCTACTCCTGGAATTTCATGCTTTACATTGGCGTATGAATGCATTTTTAGGACAGCCGATTTGCGTGCAGTTGTATTTGTACTCCTCGCAAACGCTCAGCTTATTTTCCGAAACGTGCCTCTATCAATGGCAGTGCATATTGCAGAGTTGAAACTCATTAAACCTTCTGCACTGAAAGCCTAACTCGGTCTTAAATGTGATTGCACATGCTTAACGTGTGGTCAAAGCGCAATGCTTTAGTTTAGTGTAGTGTGGACGAAAGCAATGATACTGACTATTTGAACAATATTTCTTGGGCCGAACAAATGACAAAATTTATTTCCATTAATTGTTAGGCAGGACCTATTTTAGAACACAAGTGACCTAAGGTTTTGGCATGTTAACCCAACAAATTAATCATGCTGTGCATCACTGAGCCACTGCACACAAGCCATGGGTTTACTTTCGCGGATAACGAAATATCCATGTGCTTGATATATATACATATATGTATATACAAACATATACTTATCAATGGGTTTATTTTCGTTCTGCAGTTTAGCTAGCGGAATTAATATTCACGGTTAAGGAGGCGCGTTTGTTTACTAGTTGTAGTAACCTGCTGTTGCGCCTCTGTCTCGTTCTGACAAATTAGCATAGTATTAATGGGTTAAAAATTGTTGACACAGCAAGAACTGTTGGCGGTATAAGTTTGGTACAGTTGACCAATGGCTATTTGCTCCACCGTTACTGATGAATCTAAGTAGATACGGCCTGCCCGCGAAATTTCCTAGTAAACTGTTTCCAATGTACGGATATATGATTAGTAAGGCTCCGTAATGAACAATAAGTTGCTTTACATTCACCGGGTTTCTGCTTAATATCTATGAGGATGACGCTGGTGTATATAGCAGGGTTAGCTTGTAGAGTTCTCTAACAAAATTTTTCAGATAATTTGTAAGACGGCCATGGTAATTTGATAAGTGGTACCCCCAAAAAATTTAAAGACAACGAAAACAGTTCATTAAGTATTTTAATCTTGCTTGTTAATTCATTTCTAGATCACAGAAACATGAGCATTTTTGGAGGCCGCAACAAGCGCTTAGTAGTTTCAAGCATTCTTGAAGTAATTTAATATGGATCTATTTAATGACAGTTGTGGGTGTTGTGAATCCAAGCGAATTGCAGGAGAACAACCGAGCAAACGAAAGTTTTTATATATGTGATACTAACTACTTTACTACTCTTCTTCTTCTTCTTTTTATTATTATTATTTCGATATCATCACCAACTATCCAACGCAACACTTCTTAAACCGCAGAAATTCATTGTGCATTGTTTATTGTTCACTTACTCAATCACAAACAGCCAACTTTTAGCTACTGGAGTGCTTCACTTATTGAAATCACATTAGTGAAATTTTAACTATTTTACAACACCACACGCATAAGATTTTGTGAAAGTATCCTAACTGACTGCAGCCTCTAAGCAGTTTTGATTACAAATGTGGGAATTTTTGAATCAATATCCATGTTCATCAGCGTATGCGTTTGAATAATTGTTTATGTCATGTAGCTAAAATGTTTCGGCTAAGTTCTCACATTGAGGGAGAATAATACTTATGACCCACAAATTGGTATGTTCCCATTGAAAGGCAAGTGGCAATGCCACAGACTGGATCAGTAACCACTCCGTGTCTCATTTCACGGGGAGTTGTTCCAATTTATAAGTTTCGAACAAAGAAGTGCCACTGTCAGTACAGAAAGTATTTGCGTTTCAATCTGACACACAATGAACCAAATAAAAATCACCGATCAAAAGAGACAAGGATAAAATTCCGTTTTTATGATAGATTTTGCGCTTGCATCGTCAAGGTAGTTTACCATTATGAAGTAAATATTTTTCAGGTATGACAGACGGTAAAATAATTGTGAAGTATTCCGCTTACTGGCTGTTATTTTTCTGATATAAATCTGAATGATCTGTTCAGCGCTGTCTATTTCAGACAAAAATATAATACCATCAAATTATGTAATTTGTTATGTCTGCATGCAAAGTATAATTGTTCATGGTCGAACAGCTTTAGCTAAAGATTAATTTCACTAGCTGCTGCACGGCTACAAAAGAATTTGATCGATGTTCTATGTATAACTTTAGTTTTGAAGGAGGATTGTTTAGAATAAGATGAAAGTTATGCAAATTTAATCTACTCACGATCCAGGATGAACCGGTTGACCAGCTGACAACGGTGATCCAAGCCTGTGATTGTATCCGGTCTGTCCAGCAGACCAGCAAAATATCATCGTTATACCATTTGGTGAAGACAAGATGACCATCCCTGCAGTAAAATATAAAAAGGATCATTAGCTTGCCCCGATTTGTAACCCATTCCATGGCAAACTTAAAGCATGATATTGAAAATTGAAAGAATTTGTCACTGGAAACCAATTGATTTGCGAAGCAATCTATATAGAGCACCAAATCCCAAAACGTACTATATATAACTAAAAATTAACCATTTTGAAGGATTCTCAAGTTAAACTATAATAACATACTGACCAAACTTATCTAATTAGATAAAACGGATTGCATTACACTCAAGTTCCGTCTGGAGGATAACTGGTATTGCCTGCGTAGGTTGCCTGCACTTAAAACCCCTGAATGTTATTGAGCCACGTTTATTTTTCATTTTATAGAGGCATGGGAACAATCATTCTCTGTGTTCACTTGGTCAACTTTCGTTTGTTACATACATACTTTTATAGTCAGGTGAGTCAGTACGAGCAGCACATTGATTTCCTTGGACTACCAAACTCGTAGGTCAAAGATGAAACCTAACCAGACAAGTACACCAACCAAGTATTCCCAAACTTTCACGAAATAATGACTCCATGATCAATAACAATAACAATGTATATTCTCGATGGGGCTTGAGGAACACTGTACTAAAGATCTTTCATGACGTGTAGATTCCCTCGAATAACTGTTCACTGGTGAGTCATCTGCTGAAGTGCTTCCATAGAACTTATTTATTAGTCTTGCGCTATGTAATCAAGTTGGTGACGAATGGGCGGCGTATAAAAGTGAGGATAAGATATTGTCACGGTTGATCATATGCTTGACATGAAACACATAATTCATGAATTTGAAGGATGTTTGTGAGTAACGTAAGTTTCGTAGAGAGTAGAAGTCACGATTAAACTCCACACGAAAATCTGCCTCTGAATTGCTGTGAACAGCAGATTTCCCAAAGCAAGTGCATCCTATGCTTGACATTTCGAATAAGTGACTATGTTTACTGACTTCTTAATTGGTAACCCTATGAAGCTAAATCATTTTTTCTGGTCAAATATCGCAACTTATTCTTTAGGATTACGCACTTAAAGAGTTTGCCGGCTAAGACAGAAACCAAAGTTAATTAACTACTACGGTTAGACATCCGGACTACTAAAGATCAATGGGAATCGGCTAACCAATTTTGCTACACACTGACCTAACAGCTTGCTATACTAGACCACATCATTTGGAAGTGGAATATAAATACCGCTTACATTTAGTCCAAATCATAGAAACTTGGTGAATACAAAAAAATGTTCCGGTGATTCAACATCTGACTAAGTACAGCGTATTTATGTAGTTAAAAGAAAACGTGAACTATGTGGCTGGAGGCCTAAAGCGGTAAAATTATTGAATGGTTGTGCTCTATCCACGGGGAAACTGCATGGTCGACAGCTGGCTACAGTAGAGCCAATGTCCTTGTAAATAAGTTGTGTAAACATAGCGAGGATTAATAAGACTTTGGCTATAGAACTGAAGACTGGTAGCTCAGTTTGTTAAGATGGCTGTTGAACTGGTTGCTGAGCTTGGCAATTTTGTAGCAAACGTTTCGTCACCACTCGAGGTGACATCATCAGTGCGTCAGACACCCTCACCGAGGCTCCTCTACGCTACCCTACGCTATCGCACGTCACTCAACCACGCACTGATGATGTCACCTCGATTAGTGACGAAACGTTTGCAACAAAGTTGCCAAGCTCAGCGAACAGTTCAACAGCCATCTAATAAGACTTTCTCTATCATATCCGTTAGTGCATTGATCTAGCACCTGAAAAGTTTGGAGGATAGACCCCTAACATATTAGAGCGAATAAGCGAGTTTAGGAATATTTCCGGCAGGATTTATCTGGAGCATAGGTGTGATTGCAATTTTTAATGTTTCTTGTGGCAGCACATAGACTTTAAGATTTCAGTCCGCTAGTTTCAATGTCTATAACGCAAGCTAGCCTTCATTTTAATTGTTCGCTAACGCTTTGGAAATTGCGACACTTTTATTTTTATGAGCAGCCGGCGAAAACAAGGGATGTGGCGGTTAATAAGTTTTGCACAGTAACGAATTCCTGCTACCTAGACGTGTGCGGGATAACTATTTATTATCTCGGCTGCAAAGGAATAAACAAGTTGGTGCATGTTGTTGGCATTTTGCTTGACGTAAAACGGTGGATTTTCATTAAGTGATCACTTTAACCAAGATAAACATAGCATATATCACGTTAGGAAAAGAAAAGCTGCTGATTAGAATGAGGAAACTAGCCTTCCGTAACGTGGTACATCCCCATGGAATACATATCTTAGCTTGCACGTGGCAGCCACTGTACACACTAAAGTTTAGATTTGGCTGCAGATGTTTAGCTTCGTAGGGTCCTATATAATACCACAGTAAATGTGTGTTACCACCTTCTCTCCAACTTGGCCGCATGATACAAAAAGATTACTTTTGTCAGTAAATGATTTCGTCGATAAAAAGCCCAAGATCATTAAAAGAGGTAAATCGACAAACGGTTAATGCAGCTAAGCTAAACCTAAGATGGATATCTTTTTAGAGAGATCGCACGCATCATGCACTTATACCTTTCGTAGATGACTCCACTCCGAGTTACTGTGCAAAATTACGCTAACCTTCCTTCGTCTCGGGTTTATCAGTACTATGAGGTGCGCATTTCTATTTTGCATATTACTATCACCTAAATGTATGATTAACGTCCGCGTCTGTCACGGATATTGTTGCTAAAATTCATGCGTGTAATCTTTTTGAATTTAAAGCCATTGGCAGTTATTTTTCACCAGCTTAAAAAAGTTTTTGTAATGAACAGGTAAACTGAACATCATTCTTTACACCATTTTCGACAGTCTCTTTATATTTTTTAGCACCTTGCTGCCTGTATAGCATTCATTCGGGATTGATGGCTAACCTGAAGCCAGTTGTCAATACTTGTGATGTGGTAAACCGGTGAGCCTGAGTAAACAAATTCTCCGACCAGCGCAGGCACATAACTTAATAATCCGCGCGCAGGTGACATTTCTAAACGCAGCTCGCCTCTGACGGTTGTGCGTACCCGACGTTCGTCGGTAAGTTAAAGAAAATCAGCCTGCTCACTAACTCAGGTAACGACACAATGCTGAGAGATGACAAGCAAGTAGATGAGAATCCAGCTGTGCTTTAGTCGATAGGTACCTCTAAGTCTGAAGAATGTAATCGATTAGACAAATTAGGGTTAACCAGTTCACACTGTCTTTAATGGTTCTATGCAAAGTGCACCAATTTATCTCGGCGTGAGGTATGCGAAAGAAACAATTCTCTCATTAACCCATCGGCTTTGCACTATGTGTATGACAATTCCATTTGTCAAGATGCAGCGCCCCCTAGTTGATAAGCGTGAGCAAGTAGCGGTAAACGCTGTGTGTAGGAAGAACATTAGGAGTCCCTCATCGGAACTGCGTTTGTTTATGAAAATGTCATAGTCTTTAGGAAAAGGAGTGGTACCCGATTTAAATGCTCAGAATCATGATCGGTTATGTCCAATTGAACGCTGTATCCTTTGAATTGATAAGAACCTATGGTGAAAATAGACCAGAGCTAATAAACAAGCGGTACTAACGAGAGCGAAAAAGGTACCATACCCAAAACTATCATCGATCGAAAGCCGGCTTAAATACCGTATACACTTATTTTCCATTGGTTGTGCTAGACTTGGTATAACCCCCCTAATTAGGTCGTCTCTGCTCCCAAGCTTGCGATAATTTAAAAACGAGTTGACCAGGCGTTGTTTTACTTACATTCCCTTTTTTAAGTTTTTAGCCAGGTGGCTACAAAACGAAATCAAACGGTGTCATACAAAACTCACCACCAGTGGTATTATACATTTAATAAGCGAATGTCCCCGCTATTACACATAAGTCTATGTTGGGTCCACCAACACATTTTCACATTACAGTGCATTTCTATTTTCGCAATACTTCCTATCCCACGGGACTTGTTACGCATTGTATTTTTATTTGTTATTCACCAGTGTTCCATTGTTCCATTGATCCCACGACTTTTAACATTGCCGGATCAGACGTGAAAAACTTTTCGTAGATAACGTTGTTACACCATTGCTCAAGTGGATGCTTTCATCGAATTATAAAACTCATTGTCAAATTAGTTTATAACTGATCGTTAACTTAACCCAAACCAACCGAGTTTTCAGGAAGTTGCTGGAAAAGTTAGCAAAGTTTTCAGTCTGAAATTCGCTCGAAAGTAAAAGTAAATCTATCGGTGACAAGATAATAGCTTCACTAGACCACACATTCACTCTATTCTGACAGGTGTAGACAAAGAATGGGGCGTGTCCTGGCCGAACCAAGTTGCAGGCGATTTGTTAGCACCCCATCAATAAAACGAATTACAACCGACTTTACATCGGTCAGCGTCCTCCAATACCTGACTTCTTTAATCTTCCTGAGGATTCCTAGAGACCGAATGCCAATGTTTAAGGTTATTTTAATAAGATTATCATACTGCAAGGTCGCTAAGGTTCTAAGCCATGCGATACCAACCGTTTTATTGGGACGTGGGTACATGCTGGAATGATAATTGCAGGGCTTATCGCTCGTCTGAAATCAGCTACTCACTGTGCAACAATAGGCCTCCCGGTAGTTGGTGTCATGCGCTCAGAAGCACTGGGAGCAGCGGAACGACCAGCGGATAAAACATTTGGCTCGACTCTTTCAGCGCTACTGCGACCAGTACCAGGTTCCTGCCATGTCAAAGGGTAGGATATTAATCCCGATTTAGAAGGGAGGAAGCAGGACAGAGTCCTCAAATTACCTTTTGGTGGCTCTTATCCCCATACCATCCACATTCATGGAATCTGTCATTGCCGGTAAGCTAGTGTGTAAAATGGGAAGCTGCAACATTATAACTCTCGAGAAGCGCGGCCAGCACCGACAGCCATCGTGCACAACGAATGAAATAATAGCATGGAGTAGTTGGACAGCGTCAGCTGACGCAGAAGCCAGTTAAATAATCTCCTTGGCTATTTTGAAAGCGTTTTTGGACTACATCATTAAATCTCCCTCTCCCAACCACTATTGCGGCCTGGTTTGCACTCTCTATTGAGCTGGATCAAGGAATTTATTCTTTAATGTCATTTATTGTGCTAAGTTGGGAGCTCCTTATCTGGCTCCATGCAAGTTGGGTGTGGAGTGCCTAAAAGGCTCAGCTCTAGGGCTAGGATTGTTTTTAATAATAATAATGACCTCACACAAGAAATCACCCTAACTTTCTTGTTGTTGGTCAATGACATCAATGGGTGGTGCAGGATTCAGTTGACTGCCGACAAGCATCTGTTTCAGTATGACAATAAATGGTACATCCTTAGTAAACACAGTAGGTGCTGCATTTCAAAGTACGTACATGCAAGCTACTTTCCATACGACACCGGACTTGGGAGCCTAAAAACTTCAGCTATTTTCCGTCGAGTGTGGTTTATGTGTCCTGTTTCATAATGACTTGGGTGGTTCCAGGTAGTCCGATAAGGCCACGAAAGCTGGTTACCGGTACGTAAGTATGTTGCGACGGATGTTCGAACGTACAGAAAACTTTACTTCACAACAGATGTTTGGTGGGTATCGATTCTATGTCAAATTCACAGCACAAACCTGGTAGCCACAGCAGAAGCACGACCCCATTGCACTAGAGCGAATTTAATGTCGTGCTTCCAAGCACGTCATTGGAATACTCAAGCCCTCCTACCATCAAAGGCTCAATTATTTGGATTAATCGGTGAACAGTACTGCCGATTACAAGAAGACCTGATGATGGCCTAATTGATTCTAGACAATACACCTCACTTGTGACGCTACTCACAGCAACTAAGAACTAATACGATTTTGAGAGCTCGCTACTTGAATGTGGCTGAACAGTACATTTTACTGCAGTTCCGCAGACATTTCTTGTATACTCGCCTATCTAACCCAAGAAATGTTCTCCAGCAATCAGCAGTTTCTGCGCTGACATTAACCATATTTAAAAGACTATTGGAGGATGCATTGAGTATCCTTGGTTAGTTTATACTATCCACTGTAAGCTAAGAAATAATTTGGCTTTATTATTTATCTATATCACGTAATGAAACTGTTACGAAGTGAAACAAGTTCGGCAGATGCATGCAAAAGTGCCGACTGTTGTATAGTAACAGCTTAAGTCAGACCCACCAGACTATTCGGTGAGACTTGTAAGTCAATACTTATTAATCAGTGTACAGTTATCGTTTATTACTCTTCTACTAATCCACGGAACATATATATAGAATTACACAAATCCAACACATTGTACAAGCGTATTCACTTGGAAATTCCTAACCTTTTCTTTACATACATCTCAACTGATACTGGCTGCATTCTAATGATAATACAAGTGCTTCACTAACGATTCGTTTATCACCTTTATTAGATTATCAATGTGGACGATTAGGCACTAACAAAGCATTTATTATGTTTGTCGCTTTGTACTGACCTGATTCAAGTTTCTTTGATAAGCACCAAGTGACCCAATTATAGTAAACGCGTTACTCATGATTTTAGGTCTTTTCAGGTAGAATACGTTCGTATTTGACACGAAAGTTTGGTTTCAGACTCAAAGTGTTTATCGATAAATTTTCGATAGCTAGAGTTTACAGTTATTTGTTTGGAGCATGCTGAGTTATGTGTTTATTGCAGATTAATGCACGCATTGCGCCCTTACTACAAAGAATAGGTTAGTAATATGTTAAAGTATTATCCATCTGCCAGCATTAATAAAAGCATCAATATACTACTTGTCTTGTAAGATAGGTTTAGCAAATGATTTATGACTAAGCACTTAGTTAACTTTGTAGACAACTATTGTGCACATATTTAATTTTCACAGGTTTACTGTTAGTCGTATTTTGTCAACTGTCTGCTTAGTATGCCAATAAGGCTTTAGTTACCTTTTACCCGAAAAAACGAACCAAATTTACTGGACTTACCAGGGAATCGATGATGGCCTTGGGAATTCCATCAGCTTTCCGGTCCCCAAATCGTACATATGTAGGCCGATTTTTGGGTTATTGTATGCAGATGGGTCACCGGCCTGAAACAAGAAGTAAAGCATTTTTATTTGACTAGTGAATAAATTAACATACCCCATTAATTAGATTCGGTTGTTTGCATGTCAAACTAAATACCCAAGACTATCAGGCAGCAAAGTTAGGGTAAAAAGTATCTGTATAGCTGTACGCGTTAAAATTTCCGCTTTATTAGTAAAATATAGCTCTACATTCAGGAACGCTAATTGCCCAAAACGAGTGGTGTTAAGCTTATACTGCCTACTTAAAGGAATGCAACAATTATCATTAGGTACCATGAGTACTTGATGGTTTCTTTTATCTAGTAGTTACTTATTTTGGTAAAGCGGTTACACTTCATATGATAGCCCAATGCTTTTCACCCGAAGTAGTAGGTAAGTCCCTCACGTTGGTTCCGGGATGTGCCGAGTGCACTTTGTTGCGACGGGTGAAAGTTCAACCGGCAACTCGAGACAACCTTCTTCTCTTCTTGATTTTGCAACAATTTGCTCTTTAAAGTGTCAAGTAGCCTGCGTCCGATGGCAGATGCGCAGGGTTACGGCATATGAATAATTGCTCCGACCTATTATTTACTCCGGCAGACAAAGCTTGGACTCCAAGAAACTTACCTATTATTTCTGCTAACCAGTACGTAATAAAAATGAAACTTATAAGTGCTCTTATGTGTATCGTCTGTAAGCCACGAGTTTCCACAAGACAGCATGTGTGGTCAAAAGCCACCAGTAGTTATTTCACGTAGTGTGGCGCTTTGCAAACTCATGGTTTTCGTTCCGTATAAAGGAAGAAACACAGTTATTACGTTTGGACAGGCCAATATTCCCCATGTACTAAATCAGGCAGCGACTATGCTGGTTTTTATGTACTCTTAAAATCATGATTTTCTAATGGGTTACACGCACAATTTGAAAGATGTTAGTGGATCTGAATAGTGTATATAAAGTTCCAACACATCTGCAATCACTTAAGCACCCATTACCAGGCCGGAAAACCATTGTACAGTCATTTAATCTATTCGGGCATCTTCAGCAGTCCTGGGCTTTTAATCGATAGTGGTCGGTGTTTGAAGAGTTTTATGATGTAGCTACTGAAAGCATGCTCAGTGCAACGGTTCAAAGCATCCTTGCGTAAACAAATCTCCGGCGTTTGATTCTGAGAATTTTTACCCACTAAGAATGACAATTTATGTTTGTGAGTTTCAGGTTACTATAGTAGCGCTCCGTTAGTTTGCATTTTTGGTTAACATACGGAGGGACCTTTAATAAAATCACTGATGTGAAAAATTTAAACCGATATGTAGATTAAGAATAACAGCTATTTGCACCTAGGCGACTTTGAATTAGTAAGAGCAGTATATTTTGGTTTTTATGTACGATTTCTAAAACTAGGAAAATAAGGCGAAGATTTTTGAGTTCGGCCTTAATTTTTAACTGTAAGCTGTAGCAACACAGCATGCATGTACGTCTAATGTTATGTAGCCATATGCACGCACATTTTACAACTTATTAACGTTTTATTCATCAGAGAGCGCCTTGTTAAATATTTTCATCTATTTAGAGCACAGCAATTATTTGCCTCAAAACTAAATTAAGTTCTTTCCTTTAAAACACTGTCTCATTTTAGATGCAGAAATTCTGTAAAAAATAAAAGTAAATCGTTTGTTCCGATAAACGAACATAAAACGCTTTTATAAGGAAATTCATTCTATTCTGGTCACAATTTCATATTCGAATTTTTACGCCGAAGACTTACGAAACCCTACAGCTTACAATGAATTATATATTTCTACATCACAATGGTGCTTATAAAGCATGTGTTGAAACGTAGCAGTCAGTTTTGATGATATAATTAGCGGTCAGTGCGGAATTATGTTTTCACTTATGTTTATAATACAGTATATCCTATTTAGTTTCTGCATCAGTTTAACTCCGTTACCAAGATTACAAGCTTCACGATGAAGTTGGAAGAGCGCACTTGTACATAAGCATACAATAAAGACTTAACTAACAGGAATGGGGGTAGTCCAAAAGGCACAAGATTTCAGAAATAAACAGACACACGTGTGTCACTCTAGCAAAGTGCAGAGCCTTCCAAGGAAGTTTGCAACGATTGCATCAGTTTTGATTAGATGAGCTCTGATTCACTGTAATGATGAGTGTTTCAGAGGATCTCAAGTATAGGTAACGACATTTACCGGAGTAGATTAGGATGACTGGAATTACTTATAACAAATGAATTTTGAAGCTAGCCAGAGGGTAAATAACTGAATAAAGTAATCAGTGTTTTCTAAAATGGTAAAATTTGTCTCACATTGATGCCTTTTAGTACCCCACTTGAAGAGAATTGCTTTCCTGATTGCCTAAGCAACTTATTGGCAATGACTGCAGCAACACCCATATAAACCAGCTAAAGATGCGCACCAGGTAAGTCGAACACAAGTTGAGCTGGTTCCAGCTGTCCGGAAACGGTCTTGGATACTAAGGTCAACAGCGAAATTGATGCCGATTTAACAGCGTCCTACTCTGAAGTTAGTTCAAAAGCTAACGACGAACATAACCATGAAATATGTATTGATAGTTGTTTTAAATATATTCCATATAATGGTCCTTCATTGTTTCACAGCGTAGATTTAGTTAGCGGGACTGTAGTAATATCCTAAATAGGTGTAGTATGATGTATTATTGCATCAGCTTGCATAAAACCATCCCAAGCAACCCATACAGGAAATAACACATTCGTTCCTGATAAAATGCGGAACTGGTACAAGACTACTGGTGAAGTCCTCTAGGATCATCAGTACAACTCTATAAAGCTCAGCGGGCAAATTGGAACATTTATTATATTTTAAATTTAGGCAGCTGCTGTTTGTGCTACTATTACATAATAATTCTCATAAGGTTATTTATTTACTGCAGTAGTTCTAAAACGGCGCGCTAATATCTCAAAATTGCGTTTTCACCATGGTCGGTTTTTCCTATATTCGTTTCGAATTGAAATATATCACTACTCCAGTGAACTGGGCACACTTTCCTAACGTTTGGTTCAAGAATGGTAAGTAGGACAAGCATTAAGGTCCATATTAACACTTGCATGCAAAGCCCAGCTTTCACAGTGGTTAAATGCTAAAAGTCCATCACTGCTGTTTGCAGTTCCCAAAGTGCAGAGAGGGCCGACCAACTTATTCTTTGTAGTTTACGCTTTTCCTCGCAGGATAACGAAGTAACAAAAGCTAAGTATAGCACTAAGACCAGTGTCACACAGCGCTTTTCTACTTATTCTAGGACATTTAACAAGATATTAGCAATGGTCCATCATTAACCACACACAATAACGTAAGACAAATTAAAGAACCTTATTCGTGATTTAGAAGTATCCAATAACAACGCAGCATTGCTATGCCCAAGACTTCACCAATGACATCTTACAAAGGACCTCAGAATTATTTTATATCTTAAATGTCACCAACTAAGGCAGCCTTACATCAGAAAGAAAAGTAATCTGACGTTCCATTTTGTTAATAAGATTTTATGCATAATTTAGAAATACCTCATGACACGTAAGACTAAATGTATTTGTATAGTTTTCCAAACTTACACTTAACTCGGTGCTACCGCATAATGACAACTAGCTTTCATCTACTCTAATTAAATATGAGATCTACATGAAAGATACGTGTGATAAGATGAATTATTTGTTGAATTCTATTGAGTAAAGATGCGCACCTGACATCTCCATGGCGCTTCGAAGTTGGTTGCGCATTAAGTGAGACTGCACAGGGTTACAAATAATACTGTGGCTTTCTTTGCATGAAAGACGGCTAAACAAGTGAATTGCACCATGTGCGGATGCAATGGATCCGCAAAAGACTTTTCCAGTGAAGAAAAAATGTTTATCACTTAGCTGTGGTAGAGGCGCACGAAATCCCGACGCCACTGTTACACATTAAAATACATTTGATGAAGAACTTCATGAAAGTCATCAAGCAGAGTTCATCAACTAAACAGTATCTGCATGAAAAATTTTGTAACTGCAGAAAAGCTAAGCCTAACATGGAAGAATACTGGGTCTTCAGATCTGACAGCCATTCAAAGACTAACTCTTCAACTATTTGATGTAAGGTGATGTTGAAAACCTTTAAATCCTTTGTGCCTAATTTCTATTAACTTACTCGAGAACGTTGGGGAACAAAACTATAAAGAATTGATAGAAGATATGCATAAGCAGTATGGTATATTTTCCGCAATTTGCCAACAATGTCCATTTTCTTCATTTATATCTGGGTCTTCTCGATGGTAGCCGCGATATAGTTAATCATAAACATATGTATATGGTTGGCGGCATCCGGTTTCGTATTTGCCTGTCACTGTGGCAAGCCACTGGACGCCTGCTCCTACAGAGGGACCATGGATGGCTTGCGCTGCACCACCCACAGATCCAACCACACACCCCATATCCAGTATAAACCCGAAGAAATAAGACCGGGAGGCATGCGGATGGAAACCACGTTTCATCAACGGAGCCGGCCCACACTCCTTCACAGGCAAACACAAGCACACTGTATTTGGGAATCAAGCGCACACAAGGCGGTGGCTGGACCGTAGTCCGCTCCACACTGACTACATGGAACCACTCTTTGATCCTAACACGGCCATATGGACCGTGCACCCCGTCCCCTCCAGCAACGACCAACTGTCTCCTGGAGCCAGTATGGACGAGGTAGTGGGTAATAGACAGGTAGACACCTTGTCAACATGCACATCAAGTGCAGCCACATCGGGGATATCAAACAACAGCCAAACACTTGTGAGAGAGAGAGAAAGAAAATAACTCGATTGCTGCATAAGGAAACGGAGACATAAACCTTAAGTTAATGAGCATATGAAATAAGTTGTTTACAAACGAATCCTAGATAAGTTCACGAGGTGAGAAAGTATACTCTACGGAAATGCCGCGAACACAAAAATGTTATGGAAATCGAATACAATTGGATGAAGCGATGTGTGCAAGTTAATGGAATAGAGTACAGGTAGACATTTGTATGAGAAAGAAAAGCATTAAGGCAAAATTGAAAACCCACCACCTGAAATAAATAGACTTAGCATTCAAGCACGCAGTTAATAAATCGAATGCAACGTACCTACAAACGCTGCGCCGGTTCTGCCTATGTTCTCTGCAGAACCCGTCGTAGCTTCGGTAGTAGTCCCGAGTGGCCCCGCTCATGGCTCACTAAGCCTGCCTGACTAAGGCACTAGCGACAGCATATTCTACAGCACCATGCGCTTGATGTCGATGGAGTACAATTCATCGGTGTTTGCCGCTTCTTCTCTGCATGCATGAGGGCTTTCTCCCGCACCTCAGCAACTGCCTTCTTGATTAGATCGCGCCATGCACGCCGATCGACCGCCTTCGATTCCCATGACCATGGCAATCATAAACATAACAAACTTCTTTATCAAACCTATTCCAAAAACGGATCAAAGCCACCAGAGGAAATAGCCCACTATCATGAAGGCTGACTACCGCTAGACCCTGGTCACATATGTTCTCAACCATCTGAACATGAGACAAGAGCGAAAGTCCAACAAGTAGGAAAAATTGCTATGTTAAAGCTACTAACAGTACAGGAAAACGATCTCCATGCATTGAGTGACATGATCAATTTTAACGGAATCCAAATAACGAGCTACCTTAAACTCTCATATTTATTTTCAGAATATACACAATGATAAGATTTGATTAACTTAATTTTAGTAACACGACTTTTGCAAATATTTATTATTCACTGATGCCAAGCGCAATTGAGAGACTCGGCAGTAGTGGTGCATCTACTGGTTAATGTCAAGTCCATTCAAAGGATTTGCAACCAACATCAAAAAGTGGATTATTGTGATGGCAAAACTCGCCAGTTAACATCTTTGTTAACAGACAGGCTTTAACCATCAGGATTTACATGGCTTGACCTTGTGAGGAGAAATACTTTTGATTCTCCCATTATGAATGCACAAAATACAGTAACACTTGGCCCCGTAAAGCGATCAGCTGCCCGGTTTTAATTAAATCTTGCACCAATCATCAGCTTTGCCAGTTAACCTGACGAAATCCTGCATATGAGCTCAATCAACGGTTTTTATGCACGCCATTCTGAACTAAAGCTTTTCTGATTGGTTTCAAGCATATCGCGACTGTACTCATCTTTACCTGACCACATGGAACTGTCTTAAACCTATACGCAAAGACGTATCGCCCCTCATAAAAATGAACCGTATCAGGTCAATTAGGTTTTTGGCAGAGAGACCTCAGATACTCTGCTACAGATGCAGTATACCAGATGGATTGATCAATATTACTGGTACCCTCATCCAAACTGCGTCTTCCTTAAGAGCCTTGGGAACTCGATGATGCAACAGTTTAATGTTCTCCAAACACATCCAAATCACGTAGCGAAAGCAACGAGAGTGAAAGGTTTCATCACCACGTCCTTTTAACTATCTGAACCACGGCTTGCATCATTCAAACTAATATTGAAACGAACCCTACAGTTCCAAACCATCCTATATGGACAAATACACAAAATAGCAACTATTGCTTAAGAAATCTACTGCTCACCTATATCAAGATTTTCATGCGGAGAACATCAACGCTTACTTACGTGGAATAACATTTTTAACCAGCTTGATTTCTTTTTGCTTCGTAGGCTAAAAAGCGATCTGCTCTGCAGTTTAATTATATTAGTCAGTCTTCTCAACAAGTAATGCTATCTTTACATCATGGCACGACCTAAGGGAAATGTCTTCTATTCATAAAGAACAAGCAGGATATTCTCATACGTTTATGCTCGGTGAGAGATGCAGATCTGTGGAATATACCCTTGAAATTGAGAACCAGTGATTATTTGTCTATAGTTAGGTCACATTTAACACTTTTCTTTCCTTGTCAAGTGTGGTCCAAAATCTCAACTTAAGCAATCCGGGAGGTTAATCATGGAAACCGGAAGGAAAAGTATATGAAAATAGTAGACTTCAGATACTGATTCTATTTACATTTGTCAAAAAACTTTTCATCACTAATCTTTATTAAATGGAAATTTATAAATATATGCTTATAAAACTCCCTGTACAAATAATCGTTGCACAAGAATTTACCCATCCCACCGATCGGAAAATATGCCCATTAATTTTATTTAACCATTGTACAAGATAAATTAAAGAATACAAATGCACTTGTGGTAGCAAGTCGTTACTTCATTCGAAGTTCATTGCACATATTATTTTTAAGGTTACACCATACATGATTTTCAAAGCACAGCCAGTAAAAAGCGGAGCCATGCTCCCTGAATTTAATTTTGGTGTTGCAACTTCAAACCAGCGAAAACCATCAGAACATTTCAAGTACATTTTTAATAAGCTTCGTGTTTAAGTAGAATTGGCAATTGATAAAAGCTGACTTTTGGGTTTATCATTACAGGCCGGACACCTGCATTGCGGTATGCTGAATTTGTGTGTGTCTAGGCAAGTCTAAACGTGGGCTTAATTTGAAACAACCAAAAATCACTGCTTCTTTATGCATCGCGTTCTCCTTGACTATGAGCTGTATCGACAGATCAGAATTTGACGGCTTCTGGACATAAAGCATGGATTTGCAGTTAAAATTTTATCGCGTTACCTTGAGCACGGCTTTCGTCATTCCACAAGGCTTAAACGGCAAGCTAGACTGTTTTGGGGCGTTAGAATCGCAGTGCTTATAAGAAGAATAAGGTTTGATCATATCCTGTTACCAAAACATTCGCTATTTATAAACACGATTAAGGAGTTTGTAACATATTATTGTTTCCCTTATATAAAAGTTTGGATGTTGCTTATCTGAAATCGTTTCGTTCATAAATAAATGCTTAACCTTTTCATACTTTATTATGTATTAATTATTAAAATATGGTATTTGTAAACATGGTTCTCAGGAATGCGTTATGTTTAGTAGCAAGCATACGAACCCATTTGTTTTTCAGCCGACAACGTAGGGCTGCATATTTTGCCAAGCATAATCAGCTTAAAGACACCGTATTTATTTCTGAAATGACTTGTTCTGATAGTCAGACTTTAAACGTTTTGAAATAGGTGCCTGCATTTTATGCGCTATAATTGATAATAAACTATTGTCTTTACAAATTATTAGCTCCAAATCAGCAAAGCTTGCATTAGTTTCTTTGAATTTCACTGCTTTAAATTTGCTGAAATCGAGGAGTATTAGTTATCAACAACAGGAGTTGGAAGATGTGAACGTACGCTGAAGTGAAGCGCCTTTGCACATGTCAGAATTATTTTCTTTAAACAATTATCTCCTACACAATCGTATACTCTTCTCTCAACGTAAGCGTTATTTCGCTTTATCACGTGATTTATACACAAATATCAAAAACTTAATATCCTCTCAAAATACGGTTCTTCTTGGATCATTGCTTTCTAGGTTAGTGCCTTCAAAAATACTAAACAAATAAATGCGATAAAGATGCAGTGTAATTAAACTTTTTGTATACTAAATTTGTTATTTCTCTTCCTTTGGAACTAGAAAATATTTATCAGGCAATCGTTTAAACAAAACTTTGAGTTGACCGTCGCTTCAGTGCAAAATTGTTGGTAAGAACTCATGAAAATCCATTGCAGTATACTTCACAAGGAAACCGCGAATTTTATGAGCAATTGTAAACCCAACCGTCTCAACAGAAGTAAAGTAAAGGTTACTCAAAGATAGTGTAGGAGCGTCCTTTTGGATACACGTATCACCAGATAAGTAGCATTAGGTCTTCTTTTATCTACCACTGGGCGGTGTACCGAGACATATCTGAAAACAACTATTGTTATCAAAAACATAAAGGTTAAACAGTTGTTTGCGGCTCGAAATGCGTATAACCATAAAAAAGGCGAAGCCATAAAATATTGAAGCACACTGAAAACAAAAATTATAAAGTGCTCTTTTCAACGAAACAAATTTACTCTCCCGTAGTCACCAATTGTTTGCTATGCAATGTAAGCCTGATAACACCTGCATCGCAGCTGGTCTGCGTACTTGTAAAGGCTTCAAAATTATTCTACGGTGCAGCGGCAAATTTGTAAGAGTGTTCATTAGCAGTTATGTTTGTATACGTAATGTAGCTAGCAAGGTTGGTATAGGAAATACGGCACTAGGTGTATGTTTGACGTGGTGATCAGGTTTTAAGAATAAACTACTATTTTGATGCAAACCTGCAGAATGTAAACTATGATGTTTTTATTGGACTTATAACTTACTAACTACGAATAAGCCTAGCTTCGGTATCAAAAATGCATTGCTTCTGTTATATGGACATGTTCTAGAAAACCAATAATTTGAATCTCTTAACTCTTTGCACAAAAATTATCAGAATACTGTACCCGTCAAGACCCTTAAAACCTCGAACATTTCTGGGTTTGTTTTTGAAAACTAGCAGCCAGGTGGCTTGCTTTCACCTGAAGCAGTCAAACATTTCTAAGTGTACATTTGGACCCATCATGTTTATACAATTGCATGGGCGGTGGTTGTAAATGAATTACTCGGCCTCACCTTAGGATAATTCTGACGTATTGAAGTTCCATATAATCCGCCCTCAGTGTCAAAACGAAATATCTCATACACGCTGACATTGCGTTCATCGAAAGATAAGAAAGCAAGCTTTGTCCCAGATGGATTCCACCAAAGTGCCACGTTTGTTTGCAGCACTTCCTCTAAAAAGAGAAACATCCTAATTTATTTACATGGTAAGTGTTAAATTTATGTCAAAACAATATAATACAGCTGCCGTCAAATTTAACCACATGGAGGATGAGCAATGTATTATCGGGTACCCTGACAACATAATATTACAACAGACCATACGATTACAGAAACAAAGGTAGGATGTTTGTATATTTGCAAGAATCTGGAAGGGAAGCACATAGTACGATTGTATTTATCTGAGTACCAAACTACCCTACTGTTTAGAGTAATTTAGTAGTAGATTAGTAATGAAGCTTATAATCGTTATTATGCACCATGCTTCAGCCAGATGAGGAGAGTACTACACGTTACACAAATAAGTGAAAAGCGAAGCCTAGTAACTACAAATTAGTAAAACTATCATCCACCGCACCACATGCTTTAGAACACGAAATATATCAACAAGGAACATTTGGAACTGTGTTTGTTTCGCCGAAGGATTATGTGGACGTTACTGTGTTTCAAATTATCCTATTCGTCAGTCAGGATGAAGTCAATTTTTAGCTATTGTACGAACTTATTTGGTCCGAATAAGTCGATTTTCGAACGAACCTTGACGATCGACACAACTGGAACTTATTAAGGTAAAGCAAACAACGCAATGAGAAAGTTAAAAGCTCCTTGGACTGCGAATACTACTAGGCCAACAAGCAAGGTAACGTTATCAGAATATTTTGCAGCACTATACCACATGCTATAACCCGAAGCGGTTATATTGCACATATTCACTGTACTGATAACAGCCTTATGTAGTAGATAACGACAATTTTTAAACCAAGTGCAAGGGAAGTAAAACAAGCACCAAAAGACCACAGGATGATATGATATTTTATCCAGAGGAGCGAATTACTACTCCATGCTAGTCAGAGCTCGCCAACACTTCGGTCACTTTCGCAGTTCGTTTAGTCAACCAAAATTCGACAAATGTTTGCATCGTTTCTTTCAAACGCACTTGCTCAGGAAATCTAAATTTGCAGTTGAGATAAGTCCTTGTTAATCTTTATATAAACGAATGAACGCAACACTGTTTACATGCAACAAATGTTGCTTGTATTTCTAAAACAAATTAGATGTCAGAACAGCAAAGTAATCGATATACAAAAGTTTTCGGAAACTGAGCACAAACCCATACTTTCAAGGGTGACCTAAAATTACATCAAAATATTTATAAAGCTTAAACAGCACATATTGATTATAAAGCAAGTGCCACTGCCTTGTCTGAACTATGTGTTCACTTGGAAATTGTGTAGATGGCACTATTGAATTTTGCTGTTTGCAGTATGTAACTATTTTAACACATATATGAAGGTAAACATAAAGCTCATATAGACACACTAAGGTCAAAGTAAATGTTGTTTGACTAAAATTGTATGTCCACTATTCATTCCTTATTTTCGTCCTATCTCCACATGCTATTATAACTTGGCTATTTAATACTTAAGTTTAGCAAAAGCATGATGAGTTGAATAGTTGTAATTAGCTGCTAGCAATAATTGGTTCGGTTCCCTGTAAGAGGCCAAGGAAATACGCAATACTGATGAGTTCTACTTGTTCTAAACGGTGATCTGTTGTTTTTCTCGATTGAAGGTTGTACTATCTGATTCGTGAGCAGCTTTGGTAAACCAGCAAGCTGTTATTATCTGTTGCATGCATATTTGAAACCATGCATTTGATAGTAAATTCAAACCTACTGAATTGTAAGAACGTCTTGGAATTAGTAGATACCGTTTTTCAGTAAAACCAAAACCTTGTCCGTTGTTTTACTATTGATATTTCATATTGACAATACCACCGTGAGCTAACTGAATCCAGAAATGGCTGCAAATTAAGTTTGCTGTTTACACGAAGTGACCAGTGAAAGACGCCTATTGCAATGTATGTGCTTTTAATTCCTAACTCTTGAAATAACACCATCAAACAATTTGGAGCTTAGAGCCTATCCGAGGATGTTATACATTTATTGCGATAAGAAATTTCCAGCCTTTTAATTATTTGGCTAAGCAAGCAAAATATATACCGCAGAAGAATTAATTTTATCAACTGCAACCATGCAACACACAATGTGCGTTGAGCTTTTACATATCGAGGCGAATAAATTTAATGCGCCAGCTCACAGTTTAGACATATGTATAATTGGAGGCATAAAATCTGTTCCTGGTATGTACTTACATCCATTCGTGTACACGACAGTCGAAAACTATTCGCTGGAGGACGAAACAACCTGCCGAATGTTATGAGCGTTAGACATCCAAACGCTTGCTGAAGATGGATGATACTCATGCTCCATCGATCAAGCCAAACATGGAGAAGCACTTTACTTGGTGCAGAGTTAGTGTTGTGCATCAATCGTAGACGAAAACTGGTGTTGGTTTCTTTCATGTATTTTGCATCTCTAAGTCAACCCGATTTTTATAAAATACTAGACAACTTGACGAGCACTGATCACCTTGACAACTTTAGTCAACTGATCTAATCTGGTTGCGTGGACACAGTATACTGGACAAGGCAATGCTAGTTACAACAGTGCAATTTATCACTGGTTCGCTGCTCCATTTGTGCTTGAGACTCACGCTAAATTAAGCGTCGTAGACTGTTTGGAGTGCACTAAAGTTCTGTAGTTCTTTTATCTAAAGTGTTACAGAATCACTTGAACGCGGCATAGTGCAGATCTGCGACCCAATATATCGTTGTTTTATTCGGCAGTGAGAATAATACTCGAACTACTCCAAAAGTTTAATTGGGTTTGGGAATGAAATTCAACTCAAGAGTCTTAACCGATAGTTAAGTGGCTCTATTATTGTTAGAATTAGTGTTATACAGGGAAACATATGGGTAAGTACATACGCAAATGAAACGATTTGATTAATAATCCAACAATGTTTCATCATTGTAATCCTTTGGTGCAAGCATTTTGTGCGTACAAGCATTTCCGAGTAGTCATATAGCTTGCCACGGATGAGCAAGCAAGCTGATGGAGAGGATTAAAATCTTTGCTAATGATTTGCAAAAAAAGCAAGACAGAGTGAAGTGTCTGTCGCTATTTTTTGTACAAAACTATCCAGAAGTTAAGAAATATTTCACAGAATGATGATACACGATGATAGTATATCACAATGAGGCTGTTTACATTCCCTCCTAAGAGGTCGCTACGTGTAACAAAATTGTCCAATTTGTCGGTGGATAGCAGATGACAAAGTGCAAAATCACTTGGGCATTCAGGATAAAGGTACTCGGGATGTTTGCAATTATGGGGGTATTATGACATGTAGACACAGAAGGAATAAAACATCAATACACATGGCGAGGAACCAAGTTGAAGATGAACACGAAGATACGTAGTTAGTTATTCTACAACGTGAGCAACAGAAATAGCACAGATTTAAATAGAAAAATTATGGTACCACAAAAGCAACAGCAGAGAAAGAGCAGGAAAATAATTACGAAAAGAGAGGTACAACACGTTGTAGGAAAAATGTTGGTAAACCAATTAGAATCAACAAGAAAATCTAGCCGTTAAGGAAAATGGCTTTCAGTGATTCGTACTCAGGCTAATTTATAAAAAGGACAGCCACGCACAATTATTCGGAACAAGTAAAAAACATGTGCCCGGCAAGTTCGTGAAACAACAGTCAGTTTAGACTAGGGCACTTGCAGTCTCCCTCCAGCGCAACTGCATACGGCATCTTCCACTTTCGCTGGCCAAAGCAACTGCATAGTGAATTAGTTCATCTGGGAAACATAAGCGAGGTTGATGCAACCGAGTACCGACTACCTCGCCTGTTGCAAGCATACGGAGCAGTAAGCGTCTCAATTGCGACGGCAAGATCCTGTAGATTACCTGAAATACAAGGTCTATTTGATGACCAGTGTCGATAAAATGAGCCAAAAGGGTTATAGTTAGCCCCCTTACCATCTTGACGTAACCAATATGGGTGATGATCATTGACGTGCTTTGACAGGTGCCGCGTCGTTCGACCGACATAAATTGCGCCACGGGCTCACTTGAACTGATAGATAACCATTGAAGCGGTGAGAGTCGGCAGGAAATAACTGCCCTGGAATGTTACTACCGGTAAATCGATAACATTTTTGTCGTGGCTAATACATGCACCCATCTAGATTACGTCGCCTACTACTTTAACTTGGTGCACGCAAAGGTGCATTATACATGTGAAAGAAAAACAAGTAATCGGTTGCCATCGATTGACGAGCTGCTAGGGAGAACAACAGACGTCTCCGTCCAACGTCTTGTCTACCGGAAAAATACGCGGTGTGGATAATCTAGAAACTTCCACATCTTTGTTCCTCTACGACGTAAGCGAAACATGATTCACCGTCTTACATCAATATCACATAAAATGAATTTGCATTCCTTCAGAATATGCTGCGTGAGAAAGTGTACCCGGACCGATTCATTTCTAAGAATATTCAAGAGTAACCCAATCCAGTGTCAATGTTACGGTCGAGAAGATGGCATTATTCATAAGAGTGCTTTGCAAAGTTGATGCGGCAGTAGAACGCATTTCTAGAAGCCGGTTGTCTACAATGGTATCTACGTTCTCAGTGGCGATCCGAAAATACACGTTCTCTACAAGACTGCTCATCCATGCACAAAACACCGACATGCTGCGGACCCTCACTGCTTCAATGGTTATCTATCAGTTCAAGTGAGCCCGTGGCGCAATTTATGTCGGTCGAACGACGCGGCACCTGTCAAAGCACGTCAATGATCATCACCCATATTGGTTACGTCAAGATGGTATGGGGGCTAACTATAACCCTTTTGGCTCATTTTATCGACACTGGTCATCAAATAGACCTTGTATTTCAGCTAATCTACAGGATCTTGCCGTCGCAATTGAGACGCTTACTGCTCCGTATGCTTGCAACAGGCGAGGTAGTCGGTACTCGGTTGCATCAACCTCGCTTATGTTTCCCAGATGAACTAATTCACTATGCAGTTGCTTTGGCCAGCGAAAGTGGAAGATGCCGTATGCAGGTGTGCTGGAGGGAGACTACAAGTGCCCTAGTCTAAACTGACTGTTGTTTCACTTGTTCCGAATAATTGTACCATTTGTAATTTTGCTTGTTTTTCTTCGAAACTTTTATTATCTTTTGACCTGTTCCACGAAATCGATTCCAACATTTTGCAAACTGCTGCCTCTGACACCTGCGAGACACTTTTGTTTCAATCGGTTATATTTTCGTTTTTGTCACAGTAAATTAACGAGAAATGCGACAGCGTATCTAAGGCATACTAGGAATGTTTCCTTTTAGTTCCTTTATTTTGAAATTTTTGAAATATATTTATTTTGCACATTTTGATTCACGCAGGTATACCAGATTTAATCTTTTCAAATTTTTATTTGTTTTGCTTCCTGTACATTCTTATTTAGTGTCCTTTTTATAATGTTTTTTAACTGACGACCAAGTTTAGGGTTTCTTGCATAAATGCGAGTCGTATGAAACCAAGTGAACTTTCGTTTTGACGTCGATGGTTGTGCTATACCTTGTTTGTATTTAGTGACTGCCTCCTATAGCAGTCAATCCTTATTTTGCTTGTATAACGTGCTTAAATCTAACGTCATGTTTTCTTTACTGAATACGATAGACCGCTTTCCCGTTGTGTTCGTAGCTGTGTTTGCAGCCCGTGCACCCAATCTGCCAGGCAGCGTGTAATATCGTATTTTACAGAACGTTAATCCTCCCTATTTTTCCTGTTACTTGTAGCTATTGTTGCTCATATTCAAATAGTGTGGTCGTTAAAATCTGGACTATATTCAACATATTTTTAATATCGTTTTTGGTATTTTACTTTCTTCAACGAAGACCGTGTAGAATTTTTATGTTTACGGTTCAAATCAAACCTTGTCTCCACATATATATACATATAAACTTGGTTTCATTCATTTATATATACAAATATCTAATAACCGTAGTGGTAAAATAGCTAAATGACTTCGCACCTTCATACATCCAGTCGCATTGCCCGTACTGGATTTTGTCATCAGGTAGCTCTCGAGTGATATTTAAAACAGCGGATCGCGATTCGTCGAATGGATAGATATGAATGTAAACGTGGCGGTCGTAGGCAAATGCCTAGGTAGAGAAAAGAAGAATTATCCTTCAGCTGTACAAAATACATAATGCAAATTCTCACATTATCTGTTACGATGTTAGAACTATTGATCGATGTTAATCATATAGTCACATTGGTCGACTAAAAAACTTACCAGACCACGTACCAACAGAAGATATATAAACTTAGTTTATAAAGTATGTTTATATTCTTTAATGAGCTAATGCAATGTTTAAGAACTGGTACTAATGATGGAATACTAATCCAGTTTTACAAGATCAGCGTCAGACAAAGTAAAACATTGTATCATTTGCAGCTTGGTGTTAATTCTAATTAGTACCTTTGGTAGAATCCGGCATATCGCAAAGGTCGGCTTGACAAATTTTGAGTCATGTGCAAAGTTATGGCGAAAAATGGCATTTTAGTGGCTACTGAAATGTGTTTTTTCTTAACAGTAGTCTCACGTTCAGTTTTTATCGCATTAGTTATGCCTAAAGTCCCGAAAGTTACGAGATACAGCGAAAAGCTTGAACATCGCGGAAAATGAAATATGCTTGCGGAATCACGGAAATAAGCAAAATTCATCAAGATACTTTGAGTTCGTTTTCGTCGTAATCAATATTCAAGTATTCGGAAGAAATGCCAAAGCAGCCAGCTGGATATTTTAAATTTCCTCTGAAATATCATCACAGCCATCTGTCCGCCATCTGCAATCCGGATCCACTTGTCCCTAGACTCTAGCGTCACCCATGCACTTATCCATTAAGTAACCATGTTTCCCTTATGTGCTCACGCTGTGCACGTCTTCTATCGTCCACTATACAAACACCCTTTGCCTACACGTAGATTAAATCTGCTCGAGATCTGTTCGGTCACATCTTTTGTGTATGTCTGGGCAATACCCACCGCCCCTCATTGCGGTCACCAGTGATCTTGATGCCCTGCCGCCTCCTAGGCGTTAAACAGCGGCCAAAGCATTGCATAGGAGTCAGCGGCGCAATATAAGCTACCGTATTAATTTACTGATATTATCGTCATCTAGCAGTGTAGTGGCGAGAAAGGTGATCTGTACCCTCTTTAAGCACTTCTTGAAGATACTGTTTTGCCAGTGCCTAACAGGTACTCTTGAAATTTGTCATTACTGACTTTTCATCTTCCTTTGAATAGCACCGCAGATCAGTCTCGGCCTCGTTTACGTTTGACCTATTACTCGAGAACCAAGCGACCATGTTGCTTACAATAATGTACAGCATTTATCTTTTGTAAATGTCATCACATAAAAGGACCCCGCATGTAGGAGGCAAATTTGTCCTGGGCATAGTGTAGGATTTTCATGGAGAATATTACATCGAGAATGCGGACGCAGTCCCATTCATTTGTTTTCATGTGAAGTGATTGTGGATGCATCCTGAAAATCAACCGTGGTTAATTGCATTCGCAGCCGGAAGTCTGTTCAGCGGAATGCATAGAAAAAAGGAACAATCAGGTAAACTTGTTGCCTAGGGGTAACCAGCTCCGAAGAAAGCTTGAGCAAAATACATTAGTTCCATCGCCGTTTCGAATGCTGCCCAGGAAACCCGCTACACTATAGTATCTGACTTTCTGCTTGCTATGGTATCTGCGTATATTCCTCTAGAAAAGGCCGGCAATACTTAGTTGAGGAACTTTTTCATAGGCACCTGCGGAATAGCGAAAGCATTGCCGGATCGCATGCACTACATCGGAAAATACCCCTACACTACGGAAAACATAACCAAATATTGAAATAGATTTACCGTAAAAAATTTTCAGTTAAATGCAGGCGAAACAACTGCTGATGGCGGGAAGGTGGAACTACATTTCCTGTTAGGCAAATCATTAAAATCCAACAAGGACATTCTGCGAGCATACCTCATCGAGACGGTCAGTATGGAGAAAATCATTTCTTCTACACTTGGATGAGCCATGCTGCGCAGCTTAACAATGATAAGTACGGAGTTAAACCGTGTGACGATCTTCCTGTCTGATGGCGCTAGGTATATGACTGCATGCTAGCATGATGTCACTAAGCCTGCCTGTGAGGATTCAGTTCGCATCAGGCGTGTTGTCCATTGCAAAGTTGATTGGAGAGACCATTCACAAATTCTCTCTGGAAGTCCACGAATTCGTTGAAAAATGCGAAGTGCTTCTCCTCTTTCGGGGAGAAAGTGGCATGTCCACATGGAGTATCTAACTCAGGAAGACGTGGATAAACCGATCGGTCTACCTGCACTTGTCAGCATCCGTTGGAACTCCTGAATGGAAGCAGTCGTACATCACAGCAAGTATTTCCATTTTTTCTCAGCTATATTATAAGCTGTAAAATACGAGTTTGGTATTCAGCATGTGTTTGTGAACTCTTGGATATTCTAACCAAAGGAACAACACAGAAAGCTTTGAGATAGCGGCTGCGTTGTATCTTGACTGTTGGGAAGAACAGTATCTGTCACCTGAAAACTGCCAAATCACGTTCCCCGGTAAACCATAAGTTACAACGACCCATCCGATTTATCCAGGTTGCTGAAAACTGCAGCTGAAGAAATCCGGCTGCGACATTTTCAAAAAGGGAGGCTAACCTATGATACGTTTACCAAAATCCAAAATGACATGCAAAGCTCTTTATTCCACGCTGTCGTAAAAGTCCAGGAGTAGCTGACATCACAGGTTAGCTGACCGTTTTTGAAAACCATTCGAGTGCTCGGCCCCAAGCAGCTCATTACCTTTCTCAGTTGTCTATGCAACTAGCTGATGTTCCAGGTTAGCTCCCCAATCCTGGCAGCCGAATGGTAATTCTATCGATATATGGTGGAAGTACTACAGGAAAAAATGTGCAATGACAAGCTGGCTTTCTGGTGCTGGAGGCATGAAACAAACTAACAACTAGTAAAAATCGTAGGTCGTTATCCATGCATTTCCGTGAATTCCGTAGAAACTAAACCGTGCGTTATCACCTACAAAAATATTGTGTCTGACAAGTGTCACAAACTTTCAAACAGTAGCACGAAACAGTTTGTTGGGCTTTAATTTAATTCCTTCGTTTTTAATCATGACTGACATGTATATTATGGATGAATGTGTCTTGATTTCCGATGATTTTCATTTCCTGGTAAAATGGAGGAAAATCCTGTTTGCGCCGCAGAAATTTGGTGGAACTCTGTATTGAAACCCGGAAAACATGTTTCACTCTCGCGGAAAATTTGAATCTTCTATTATGTCTTCACCCAGCACACGGGAAACAGACACGAAACTGGTTAAGTCCAAGCTCAGTACCTCAGAGCATACGAGTAAATACGTGTTGGTGTTATTCACTGAAAGGAGATAAAACAACTAACTTGCAAATGCATTGGAATAAAATTCCATGCGACATACTAGGAAGTCGTTCGCAGGAGACCATTTCACAAAAGGCAGATAAGGTTGTTCAAGTGCACCTTTCACCGGATTCACTTCGATGCGCTTTCCAGAACCGGTTGGTCTATCACTGGAATTGTTTTCATGCATTCAGAAAGAAAGGATACAATATGTTAAAAATGTTTACAGCATTGTTTCTCAAACTTTCCTGACAATGCATATAGTTTACGCCTGACTGAAGCACGAAATTAATAACCAGCAATCATATTAAATTCATACGCATGTAAATACATTAAATGAATAAATTTGTATTTGCCTAAAAAAGCAAAGTTATTACTAACAGCGTTATAGAGCCTAAAATTATTGATCTGTGTTTCTAATTTGACTCATTATTGTTAATAAATTTGAAGTACTGTTTAAGTGAATGCATTAAGACAAGCAAACCATATGGGACCGCGATTTACTTGAAAGGGAATTTGGTATATTCGGTAGCTGAGGCCGTTCATATTTGTTACTACTGTCCGCTCACGCAACCCGACCGGCTTCGTACTAGTTCGCTCTCATCAGGTTGAGATAGCAGGGCCCTAGTTCCAGCCACGGTACTCATCTCTTTACTGTGACCCTATTGAAGTCGTAGTCCCTAGTTCAATTGAAATACTTTTTGGTACCTATCGAGATTACTGGTCGCAGTTCGTTCAAGTAACTTGCGCTTTAAACTGACCCTTCCAATTAAACATTAATCGTTATGACAATTGTTGTCTGCTGTGAATCGGTAGCTTATGGTTATATATTTTAGCTGACATCTCAATACCATGGGCTCGGGTCGCAATCCTTTATAGTGCAGTGTTACCAATATGTAAGTCCTAGTATCCATCTAACAAAAATATAGCATTAACCTTAGATACTTGACACATATTACACTATTATACAAAAATAGCTCGAAAAACTAGTAGCTCGGGTTGACCTTTCCTGACCGCACTTGCTCGCGGAGCTTGATAATTAGATAGCAAACGTTCTATCACCAAATGTGGGGACGAGTTCGGCATGTTATTTTATCCAGCGTTGTCTTCTGATTTGCTTGCCGATCGGTGCTCGATGACAGGTGACTTTTTATTGACTTCATCGATTTGTGCCCCGTGGCTAACACACGGTTGCATGAGGTCTATACTAGGCACGAGCTATCTGTGAGATTACTTCGCTCCGGTTGTTGCGGCCGATTATCTGCGCCTATGTAAAATGTGTTCTGCTTCCACACTTGTGGTCCGACTTAATATGCAATTACAGATATTCGTTGGTACTACGTGAATGTGGCGAAGCTTAGACTACATCTGTCATTACCTGTCTGGAGCGCTGGGTCTGTTCACGTCAGTGCACATTAGAGCAAGTATTGTCGATTTTAATTGGTCAAAATTTAGTGTTTATATACATGCAGCATTTGGGCCAAAGTTTCTGCAGACATTTTGCTCCATCCTCTTAGCTTTGGAATTTCCATACACTTTATTCACAGTAGGACACCGAGTAGAGACCAAAACCTCCTGCACTAAACAGTTCGGTAGGTGGTAGATCATAGTAACAATATCTGAAACTCGCGCTGGTTTGCAAACATTTAGCTCCAAATACTTTTAAATGTTTACCCTCAACGCGAAATCACAAAGCGTAGAAATAAGTCCTTTTTCTCCAGACTGTTCTAAATATCTACCATGCTAGCAAAGAAGTATCTGCGACCACAAATATTGTGATACGTCTATTAAACAATAAACTATGGACGGTTTCTGTGGAGTTATGGCGGCGAATATTCTTCTATGACTTAACAGTTAGTGATGTGCTCCTAGTTATCACGACCGTTAAGAGACACAAACCATACAAACAGAAAGCGTGGTGACACATCAGGCATACATGAAATATGCCCATAATGAAGACAGAATTCAAATAAGCTTTTCAGGGTAGAAATTATTTTTTACTAAATCACTTTAGGCTAATACGTATATAAAAGGGTTTACATTGCGATAGGCTAATATGGCTAAACTAGGGTTGCTTTACCAGCTGATCAAACTCTCCAATCGATGAAGACGCCAAAGCACATGATGTCACGGGATCACCGCCTAGGATCGAATGTAGCGGCCGTTAGGGTAAATTCCGCGCCAGGATAAATGTAGGGTCTGCGCTAGAGTCACTCGGTAAAGTTCTGGTTCTAATAGCCGGATCACAGTGGCCTTGTCCGTTGTTGATAGGCACGCCTTATTCCCTTTTGCATACCGTTTTGGTGCAGTGCAGTAAACTTTAGACATTTTTAACCTCAGTGTTGCAATGAGATCTCTTTTCGGTAGTTCACATCAGGCAATTACAACTACAGAACTGATAAATGCAGTAGTAAACTGGTGAAGGCAATAATGAGGATGGATGGGACGATTTGAACAGATTTAGTATGTTCGTTTGATGCTCGAAACGATTTAATCAGGTGACATCGTGATACGGCTAACCGACAGCAAAATAACTTGTGTAAACAGAAAAGGCAAAAATACTAACCATATAAAATTAGTTAATTAGTAAATAAATAGCACACGGTTATGCGAAATACTCCGGGGAAACTTATCCTCAGGGCCATGGCAAAGTCAAGGTTTGCACAAGCACCCTATGCTTGCATAGCTCCGGTTGTGTTAGCCGGATCGCGATGGCTTCAGCTGTCTGCAAGAGACGCTTCCTTAACCCTTTCGGGTCTCACCTAGGTACGGCATAATAGACTTTGAAAGGATCTTGTCAAAATCTGATGCCCACTTAGAATCAGATGTTCCATGATGGAGCTGTTGATACTTCTGAGCGTGCCTCTCCGCAGTGACCCTGAACAATGTTCAGCCATTCGTACCGACAGACGCCTGGTCGTATCCCCAAGGTACTTGGCACCACAAGTACAAGTCAACTGGTAAACAATGTAGGATTCGGACGACTGGCAGTCTGTCTTTATGACGTTGAGCTATGAAGGGAGCGGTCTCTGCGACTACCCGCGGGTGCGCGACCGGGTGGGTCCTTGCTACAGAATTAAAAAGTCTCCTGTTCAGGAGATCGAAGGCGATATCTCCCTTAAAATGAACAGATAGAAACACATCCTTCTTCGGAACCGTTGCTACGGGTTTATCGCGCTCACGGGTCATGGCGTGCTTTTTGATGAAAGGCTCAGGGTATCCATTCTCAAGAAGTGTTTTCACAACCTCACAACTTAATGCTCACTTTGGATTAAATGTTCTCAAATACAGCTGGTAATGTCTAATTGTGTGCTTCTATACTGCCGCTGGGCAATGTACTGCTATCCTTTTAGCCAAACCACTGGTCCTGTGTCCGATTTATACATATAGCAGGAACAAGTAAATTCAGACAGGAGAAAAGATTCGGACGAGACCGGGAGTCTATCTTTATGACTTTGGGTGATAAACGGGACAGTTTCTGCTACAACATGCAGGTGAGCAGCAGGGAACTAATTTGCTATTACATTTAGGAGTCACTGGTTCAATAATTCGAAGGTGACATCTCCATTAAAAGGAACAGAAAGATGAAAATCCTTTTTCGGCACCGGCACCGTTGTTTCTCCTTGGTCACCGATCACAGTGCTTCCGAACGAACGAAGCGGGAATGCAATCCCTTTCATTTTCCAAAGTTTCGGAACTATAAACCTTTTAGCGTGGTAGCATAGGCGGCGAACTAACTTAGTTATGTACTTCATCAATATAAAATGGCGGAAATGTGTACATTGTCCAGTCTATATATGTATATTAGAATGAAGCAAATAAGCGAAAATAATTTCGCCGAAATGCTGTTTTGAATTCTTACTTCAGTCACCGTTTGATAAACTCAAATATTACTTTTATTGGTTTAACTGCAACAGTGATATAAATTTTTCATGCAAGTATGGTGGGTTTTGTTCGATATAAATATTTATATCAACTAAATCGTTTTCCGTAGGCCTTACTATGATAAATGTCCGTTCACCCACAAGCTTATCTGAGAAACCATAACATTAAAATTATTTAACATAGATATATACGTAACTAATTGGCTAACTGAGATATGTAAATGATTATTGCAACTATTCACAAAAGGACTTTTAAGTAAGTTTATTTTTCATTATCCGAATAACACACTGCATTGAAATGATTAAGTTTAGTCGACTAAGTAATTTTGTATATCTGAGTTAGCATTTCATCTAAGGTTTTCCTCTCTGACCATAAATGCTCAATGCATTGATACTCTACCCATAAGTTGTGGACAGCAGGTACTTTCCTGACCATTACCGAGGAATTACAGGAGCTGAAAGTTTGTCCCACTTTACCGTTGGGTTATAAATTTTAAATACTCGTCAAGAACAATTTCTATGAATTAAATAAACCTACGCAAGTTGGTGGACGCTTGGATATGTCTAGGCTAATATCAGAAGGCCAGTATATCTGAGAAGATAATTTTTATATCTCCTATAAATCATCAAGTTTGTCTGACAACTTTATTTTTTATTTGATCACAACTTTTACGGCCATATCTCAAATTACACCAAAATGCAATCAACCGAACAATAAACCAGTTGACAAGTAAGGGTGAACATCAGGCGACACCCATCTACATGGTTAAAAGTAAAATACATGTGCGTTTAGTATCTTATGTTCCCAAGGTCGATTAACATTAAATGAAGGAATGAAAAGGAATGTTTTTCTATACACACCAACACTGTCACCAGTCGAACTAGGACTAGCTGATTCAGGACTGTTCCAGGTATCCTCACAGTGTTAGTTCCTCTAGAGTTTTGCCAGTATAAGCATTCATGATTAAAAGCATATAAATGCGTTTTGCATATACATTTAGTAGGTGCTGATAATATTTGACAATACCCAACGTACTATCAGTTGACTTTTAGCTTAAGCATGCCTGTTAAGCTAACCATACACAATATAAATTTGGGTTTAAAAATGGCAAACACTCATAGCTTTATAAGCAGCTTACAATAATTACTTAAAGTGACCGTGTCTCATTAAAAATGGAGGAAAAATGTACCCAAATTCCATGATAGTTTCGAAATAGAAACATTCCATGAGTTTATGCAGTTGTGTAGCAGAAAACATGAATAAGCAGGAACTTTAGGGTTAGTGTCGTTAAAACTGTTGCCACTC